CCCATAGCTCAGGTACATACGCACCTATTAGAATTCTGAAAAGAGAGCACTGTTTTTGCGCTGAACAATGTGACACTTCCACCACTGAGGTTGCCACACCATCGAGTCTCATGGAGGGGCGCGCCTCGGGCACAACTCGGGGAACTCGGGCGAACCACTTTGTCGCGACAAAGTGGTTTGGCGATAACGCTCACCGCGTCGATGCAGCACCTGCGCGCTGCCTCACAGCTACCCTCACCTTCTGGTACGTGCTACACCGCAAGACGGCCATCCACCGAAATTCCCTGAGAGGCACGTGCACCACGGGGTTCCCCATCAAACCCACGCATTTTTAAGATGCCAGGTTCGTTTTGCGTCTTCCCTGCGATCCACCACCATCTACCCAGTATCGTACATATGTATTCCTACGTACCTAGTAAAACATGTACTCTTCGATGATATATCTTAGTGTGAGCCGGCCGATGTGTGATCGAGTCGACCAAGTCAACTTCTCTTTTGACGTCCATCGCGATCTCGCGCCGTTCAACTCTTACTGCCGCCCTCCGTTTCGCCATGCCCTCGATTCGTTTTGAAGACGGTGCGTGCACAATATGGATTTGTGTCGATCGTTTCTGACGCCCCGTAGCCTGGCAGATAAGTGCCGACAACCGGTACAAATGCCGCCTTTGCCCGCAGGAGGCTCCGAAATGGCTCACTCATAGTAAGGCCTGCGTTCACGAGAACTCTGAGCTACACACTCTCCGGGTTCGAGAACTCGATCGTCCCCCGCCTACGAATGTATACCCCACCCGCTCTAGTGCAGGACAGCCGCAGTCTGCTTTCCCGAAACCGGCTTCGGCGGCGACATCCAGTTCCTCGCCGACAACCTCTACCTCGAGCTCCTCAATCTTTCCGGACTTCCGCGTCGAACCCTATGTTGCGATACCAGGCCCGCGTTGCGCGTCTGACCGGGCGGATCAGATCTACGACGACTTCGACGGCGAATGGTGGAGGAGAAGTGCGCGCGAACGGCTGCAAACTCAAGGCGGCGTCGTCGACATATCTGAAAACGACAAGGATGAGGCCCGGAATGGAGACTCGGACGGTATGCGATGCAAACTGTTCCATCCTCCGACTATACTCACATTGTCCTTAGGTAACAATACTAGTAATGTGCTTCCCGATTTCAATAGCCGTATGGCTGCAGACGAAATCAACGGTACACCTTTATAATCCGAGTTGTCTTGCCATATTAACATAGTCAACAGGACCTCGCAAACCGCGGTTTGACACCGCTGATCCTTAGATTTGAATCTGTATACTTACCCTGCGGTGCAGTCTGTCAGGTCGGTCGGCGACATCCCCGATGTGCCGCCGATTTCGCTCCCGGAGTTCACGATCCAGGCAATCGATGCTTTGCACGTCGGCGACAAGGAGGCCGCCAAGCATTGCGAGGTTGTGCAGGGACACTTCGCTCACTCGGTACGTACTTCTTGCACTGCTCGCTCGATATTTACTTATATGCCCTCAAGCGTATCATCGCCCATCGTCTCCTTCAGCAACCCGCTCCCGAAGCCACGACCACCGACACTGCCTTCTGGAAGATCATCGGTCGTGAGCTCCGCGAGAACGAAGAGCAGTGGGGCCCCGATCGTAACAGCCCTGGCTGGCGTAGGTACGTGTCTATGTCTCTATTCTGTCTTCAACAAAGCTCACACGCTTCGAATAGCTGGTCGCGCGATCGCATCCTCGGGGACATGGCCCTCTGGCCGGCTCCGCTTCATCTTCAAAGTCTCCTGAACGCCACGTTCACGGATCTCGGTGCCCCGCCGTTCGCAGGAGGTCCCGCTGAGCAACCGGAACTGGCGATGCCGCCTCCGGTCGCGGCTCAGGGTCTCATGCAAGTGATGGGCGACGACCTCGGTGCTCAGAACGGCATTGGGCCTGTGGCCGATGCTGCGAACGAGGGCGATGCCGCATGATGCCTTTGATCTGGCTTTCAAGTAGATACGCGATTGACTGAACTGTTTTGTACTTAGTCGTGTACCGAGCAGGTGTCGCCCTTCGCTCAATGGGCTTCATACCTTTCCTCGACTGCCATTAGTGTAATACTATCGTATAGACTTATTTGCGACTGTTCTATCGTGTGAATCAAAGGGCTATGCCCGAGAATTACCGACAAGCTAATACTCAATGACGGTCCTACACTACGATGACCACTCGAAGGGGTCTGCTGCAGGTGTGGGAATGCCATACCAGGTTTGGTAGGCCAATAGTAATGGTTGCGAACACGCTGAGGGCCGGTGAAGACACGGCGAGCGTCACGCGTATTTACGGTGCGAACTTGGCATCTGAAAAATGCATGGCGGAAGCATTGTTTTCAGAAGCGGCGCGCGAACCGTTGGTTTCGGTGGACGGCCGTCTTGCGGTGTAGGGGTTTGGGTCTCATGCGACGAGTATATTACAAGCTGTATCATTGCTAATATGGTATATATAACACCTACATCCGGGCTCATTGGATCAATTCCCTATCATTATATTACTTTCAGATGCTTCCTATTTTACGGGTTTCTCAAGACGAATCAGAGCTTATGGCATGAAGTGGGATCACTAATGCTAGAGGCATAGTGCGGACAGCTGAGGAAAACGGTGGAGATGCAGTACTGGAGAGCAAATCACTTTGCGCGTGCAACTGAATCGGGGTTAAGCTGGGCATTTGACAATGAACATTACGTAGTGACGTCATACGGCGTCGGAACCCGAGATCCGGAGAGAACGGGCTTCGCGAGATCTCGTGAGATCTCATGAGATTGCGTGAGTGTGTTCCTCGTGTAATCTCGTCCTCTTGTAACACTGTGACCTACCCGTAGTCAGGATACTGAGACTCCTAGAGAGTTGTCCTCGTGAGCTATCTCCATATATGAGGAGATATGCCGAGGGTCGCTGATAAATCGAGAGATCCCGTGAGAGATGGAGAGATCCCACGAGATTCCGTGAACTTCCATGAGATCACACGAGTTTTGCTGAGATCGAACGAGATTCTGAGGGAAATCACGAAGACTAGCGTATTCTCCCGTCTTCTCTGCTAACCTCACAAGATCTCGCGAGAACTCAGTAAGTTCTCCCCCAAGGGCCACTTGCGTCTTGGGTTTTGTCCGCTGGAACCCTCCATAGTCCCTGATCTGCTGTTGTAACGCGTCGTTGCGTCGACGAAGACTCCGAACTTCACGACGTAGCCGCTCGTTCTCCCCTTCCACCGGCCTGATAGTGTTCGAAAAGTACTCGTCCCCCTAAGATCCAGTCAGATAGCGCACTGGCACGACGGTAGCAACTCGAAGGACTCAAACCTCATACGTGTCAGGTATGTCTTCGAACCGAAGCGCCATCAACTGATAGTGTTTGCTGGTCGAGAGGGCTGAATGTAGTCTGTTGCGTCTCAGGAGTCAAAGACTACGCGACTGAGCACAATTCTCGGATTAGCTGACTTCGACGTACGTGCAGACCTTGTTCGAAGTGCGCGTCAAGTTCACTGTGGCTTGGACGCGGCCGCGAGCGGCGAGCGCGCCACACGGCCAATTCCAAATGGGCCACGTGGGATAATCTCATGCAACACCGTCGAGACTCGAGTGTTCGACGTCCCAATCGCCCTAGTAGCAGAGCAATTTAGGTTGACATTAGCACTAGGCTGCCGTGAGGTAGTCGCGACAGTCGTACTACGAACGAAAATGTAAATTATGCATAGCTCAGTAAATTTCTCAGTCCGAATCACTCTCCTGCTTCTTGACGACAACCTTCGCACACTTCTTCCGGATTGCTTTCCGCGACGCCTTGGACAGCCCCTTATTGGCCTTGAGCAAACGCTGCACCTTCTCCTGCTTCTTCAAGCTCTCCTTCTTGACTTCCAATAACGGCTTGCCAGCGCCCTGCCCGAACTTCGTAAACTCCTCGTTATGGCCTACCATCCTCACCGCAATAGCGCGAACATGCGTGATACCGTGTTTCAACATCCAGAGTAGGTGACTACGCAGCGCCCTGGGCATCAGATTCAGCGCGATGTTCTTGGCCATATCGGACTAAAGACGGAGGCGGCGCCATCAGCAACGCGTAAAGTAGCTTGAACCGAAACGTCGTATTACCGTATGAGGGGGCCTGATCTTCGACGCATCTCTCGCAGGGAGTATGTCTTCGGATATGATCTCGTAAGTTCCACGATAATACTTCATGATTGCATTAGGATGCGCTGATCACGTAGCGAGGGGGAAGGAGAAACGTACCCATCCACCGTATGCCGACGTGACAATCTCTCTAGTATCGCCAGGAACGAAGGGCGCTGTCTCCGGCTGATACGGTTCGACCTCTCCATCGACTGTAGGAATACACATAGGGAGATAGACTAGGCCGCGTGATCCACGTCGGAAGACCATGTAATCATTGACGATCCAGAGTCGCTGCGGCGTAGCCCACCTTTAAGGCATCAGTCAGTACTGACGAGCGTGCGGGAGCATGTTGAAGAAGCCCATACTTCTTGAACGCTTTGATCTGATGAGTGGAAGTCAGCTCACGTCTTTATATCACGTTTGACGCCGGGAATACGAACCCTAGGCGGGCCTTGGTACCTCTTGCAGATCTGATGAGACTTGGGCGGTACAAACGGCACCGGGTCGAGATGAGCTACCAGTCTCTCGACTATGTATTGGATCTATTGTGGCTGGTCAAAGGGAGTTGCGCATACTGAGGCATTATACACACTCGGTCAGACTCGGTACTATTGGAAGACGCCTGCTGCTTTCCAATAGTCAGCAGTGCGATGACGAGGCAACTTGCGACGACACTCACATCTTCCACATTTTGCACAAGTGCCGTAAAACCCCTGGGTAATAAAGTCTCAAGCGCCCTGTTGCGCTGGCGCAGCGCTTGTATCTCGCGGTGGAGTCGGTCGTTCTCTGCTTCCACGTTCTTCACCTCGTCAGACTTGTAATGGTCGCTCTGTATCCTCGGTGAGCTCAAACGTATCAATGACTGCATTCAAGAATGGATCGCACCTCGCAGTCATCCGTGTCAGTCGTATCATAGTGCGACGGAGCCATAGCCGGTATGCACCTCGAAATTATGGGCTTTCAATAGGCCAAGCGAGCGATAGAGTCAACACGGTTGTTTGGGCGTGAGCTTGCGGGATATGGACGTTTGGGCAACTTGACGTGGACGCGGAGGGCAGAATATTGCAAGAACCCTCGGCTGCTCCGAGACGCGTCGCGTAGGTAGGCGCCACACGCCCACATTCATATAATGTCCACGTGTTGTATTGAGCGGAAGCGGACAGAGCCTGAGCGGTGCATATGGACCGATGTTCGAGCAGCATGTCAAGACGGTCGGCCCAAAGTGACAAGAGTCCTAGATCATGCATGGCCTACAGCAAACTCGATGACGGGGGGAGCCAAGGTCTGGGAGGCGCCGCTTCGGACTGTCGCGCTCCCACGTGTGCCTCTGTTCCCGTCGCACGGCTGCGCCCAATCTGCGCCCTGCGTTCAGAGTGCGCAGTTTACGCTTCTCTCCTTCACACCACCACCCAGCGACTTGCCCAATCGCGCTGGGATACCAGATAGCTTTCTACGTCTCCAAGGGCTGCTATATGTGCTCTGGACCTATACTTGAGCTCGAGAAGTCCGCTTGTGGCTTGAAGGTCTCTTAGACTCCTGCAAAATCAGCTGCTTATTGCCTGTGGCGATCGAGCACACCAAGTTACTGGAACCGTCTTCATTCCCTCGGCGGCCTCATACGCTATCGCCTGTACCGCTGTGTACTACGGGGAAAACTCTCCTGGACCATGGGTCATAAACACGAAGCCAGTCATGGACATGGCAGGCCACACCACGATGAGTTGACGGCGACTGTGTTATCTGTAGTCGAATCGCTCCCACAGCATCGGAAGGCTGCGTTACTCCTTGAGCACTCGCTTGCATTGATCCAAACTGGACGGTCAGTATCTTCGGTCGCGTTCCGCACTGTTTCCGTGAGCCTGACAGCGTGTACTAGGTACGGGCATGAAGTTGAGGCGTACCTCGATGTGTACATGCGCACGCCGGGTTTACCTGAAGACGACATCGCGAAGGCTCTACTTGCGCGCGGCAAGGCGAGAAAGGATGCTGCCCAACTTCTACTCATGCGCGCTGAACTCGGTGAGCACAATTGGTGTCCAGATCAAAAAGAAGTCGTTACTGATAGGCAAGCAGACTTCCAGTCAGCGGCGCATGTCGATCCCACCAACCGCGAGGCGCAGGCGCAGTTGCGACGGAGAAGACTGGTGAATCTTCACTTGTTCTCGAGTTGAACTTCGACTGAGGTTTGCACCAGCTTCCTCCAGCTGACGCACCTGCTTCGCAACGCACACCTCCTGAGGTTTGGGATCGCATCGCCTCCTTCATACCGCGATACTTTCTACGAGCATGGCTATCGGTCTCTTCCTTTCATCGAGACATCGCATCGCGGCATATCTTCTCGACCGTCGACCTCTTCGTGAGCGAAGACCCGGAGAACTTACATCGCACGATGGACTTCCTCGATCGTGTGAAGGCGGACATGACCTTTGCAAAGCGTATCCGGTGTTTACGTCTACACTGGGCGCACGAGAGCGACGAGATGCTCGACCTCGTGAGTCGGATCTTTATGACAGCGCTCCCCGAATTCAGCGCGCTTCGCGAGTTCGAGTGGATCGGGTATCCTGAGTTACAGGCGGAGATGGTCACCGCGCTCCTCACCAGCCATCCGTGTCTTACCGCTGTTGGCCTCATAGGCTGGCATTTCGATGCCATCGGGATATCAAACTTTGGGGCTCTACGCCGCTTCACTCTTCGCGCGGAGGATGACGATGGTCTCGCAGACATGGGAGAGATCCGCGCGGTACTGGACGCTAATGTACATACGCTCACACACCTTACGCTTGGCGCCCATTTGGGACGCCCACACAGCTGGGACTCTGCCTTTGGCTCACCAACGATTGGCTCCCTCACCCGACTTGAGCTCGTGGATACCCGTATCAGCCATGGCGTACTTGCACGCATCGCACATGCTCATCGCCTCGTCGAACTCACGCTTCACGGAACATTAGCGTCACCTGGGCCTGCCACGGTGGTCTTCGGGAGCGATCACGTCCTCGAAGGAGTGCATACATTTCTCCCGCGCCTGCAAAGCTTTCGATTCGTGGTCGCGGGCCACGATGACGACGCTGCCTTGTATGGAGCAGTCGTACAGTTTCTGCGTCGGCGGGAGCGCCTGCGGCGACTTGATTTGGGCAATTGTCCTTGGGACCTTGTCCTAGCCTTGCTTCCTGAGATGGTTGGACTACGCGTATTCAGGACAAGGATTGCGTTGCTTTCAGAAGAAGCGATTGTACTGCTCGCAGCCGCGTTACCTCGGGACGTCATCGCGATACATGTCTCCTGTGTCGTGTCATCAAATCCTATGGTACGTCACTGCATTCAGCTTTCTGTGACTCGGACATAGAGGGCTAATCCAGGCATATACAGGAATCGTTCGCATGTAAATTAGCGCGCTTCCCTGCCCTTTCGATGCTCCACCTACGCGCCGCCGCCCAACGCCGCCCGCAAGCAGCCGCTATGTCCGATCGTGAATTCATGACCCAAACGGCACAATGGCTCGGTGCTGTCCGAGAGATGGCTCACGCTATTCCTAGCGTGGATTATCTCGGCTGGCACGGCGAGCACTTTGTTGTCAATCGCTCTAGCAAAGGCGAAGGAGAGCTGGAGATCAAGGAGTTGCCCGTGCGCCGGAGATTGGATTGTGGCAAAGGTGTAGACCTTGGGAGCGATGACGCGAATTGGTTGGAACGGAAAGACGTACCCATTGACTATGAAGTGTCCGGTCTCGATGCATGAACGGAGTTCGGACCTGAGATTTGTTCGCCTTCGCTCCATAAGTACCATCCCTACAGACTTTGATGAGAATAGATGGTGCGGGGAGGTCCCATGAGGACTGCGCGCGAAAAAGATATTCTACATAGGTTATTTGTAAGGATGTCAAGATGTCCCATAGATCTCTTGATCCCAACTATTCCCGGGCTGGCTCTCCAGCTTCTCGCCAACGTTTCAACATCGGCAACGCGAGCTTCGACGCGCCCACTCAACAGCCTCCCCTCTTGCCTTCCACTCTCATCTTTATGGGATGACCCTTGCCACAACTTCGTCTCCCATCGATCATGTATGGGACGCTGTACTCCGGACCATATGCGACGACAACTTCACCGTGTCTCTCCCGAAGGGCGTTCCGGAGGCGTCATGGGCCGTCATCCGCCAATGGAAAGCGGATAGACCGGCGAACAAGCGTCTGGAGTTGCTCGGAGACTCTATTCTATCGTCGAGTCTGGTCATGCAGATGTTTCATCTTGAGGAGCTTGAGAGCGGAGCGATCGCTGTACGTCTCTCCTTGACATCCATGTCCCGAGTCCATTGCTCACGCATTGCTCAGCAAGTGAAGGCCGTTCTTCAAAGCAACCTTGTTCTCTCTGTTCTTGCAGAAAAGGGCGATAGAGCCGTGATACATTATGCCGAAAGGGCGTCTATCCTCAAGACGGTGAAGGGGCTCCTCCAACGAGGGAAATGGGGCGAGGTCGCCGTGACTATTCCCAAACGTGACTTCAAGCCGATTGCGGATCGGTTCGAGGCCGTCCTTGGTGCACTGTGTATTCTTGAGGGGCATGAAGAAGCTTGCAAGTGGGTTTCAGGTGTGTTTAGACCACTTGTTGAGGCTGGGTTGGCGGCCGACAGACAAGTGAGAGGGACGTCGAAAGCCGTGGCATCGAGGTACGCCTGCATTGTACAAGCATGTCTTTAGGATGTACTGATTAAGTCAACGTTAGCGTGAATGTATCACAGAGCACCAATACCGCAGATTCAACTATGGTGGGCAGAAAGCGGCTGCGCGAGGAGCTTCAAGAGCCGATGATGACCACCGCAAAGCGTACGAAGGCAGCCGCTACAGACGGCGACGTCTCGCATGGTGCGTTTCTGCATAGTATTTACCACTATTCTGAGCTCAAAGTATCTTCTCACGTACAGAAGACCCCACAATTTACCTTACAACTGTACGGTCTCATCCTACGGTCGTTCAAGCTTCGACAGACGTCGTCAAGCTCATCAGTGCCGTTGGTCCCAGCCAACCTAGTAATAGCATCAGAAACAGCGTGCGCACAACGCAAAAGGCCAGTCGACCAGTTGTCATTGATCTCAACAACTATGATTATGATTACGACTCGGACAGGAGCGAGAGTAATCGGTCCGAGATAGAATATGAGGATCTAGACGATAGTGATCGAGACGGTGCCGAGGAAGACAATGAAGACGAGTTGTGGTGGGAGACGTACCTCGCTAATTGACATAGCGCAATTGGCTCTTACAATACAGCTTCTGTATATATACCTACATTCTACTACTACACGCGTCGCTCGGTCGTGATTCTACTGTTTCAGGCGCGAACGCGTGAACCTTGAGCAGGCGCAGAAGCCGGGCGCGCGTCTCGTCACGACGTGACTGAACGCGTTAACGCCCGGCTTGCCCCAGCGTCCAACCTGCCGATGTCGATACAACTCCTCAATCAGGGTGGCATCCCATGAGCATTCTTCCGGAATACAGAAACTTCTCGAGCCATGCTACGACAGTAGTGAGCTTGCTCATATACCTTGTAGGATAGACTCCATACCGAATTAACGTTGCGCTCATCTCCAGCGACACTCGGCTCATCTGCATCCTCACGCTATGCGTAGGCTCTAATCTCGGCCCGACGCGCTTATTAGCGCCCAAATCGCGTACGGATGTATATGAGAGCGCTCGAAGGGCAACGCAGATCCTCTCCTGAGCGTGGAATGTTTCAACTTCGGCCATGCGAGTGATGCAAGTTAAATAGGCCCACCTCCGACTTCCCTGCTCATCCACCCTCCACTTGCTAGCCTGGCTATGGCTTCTCAGTCCTCCAGTAGAATCGTTAACTACGTCCTCAAGACTCAGTGTCGCGATTCTTTTGCCTCGTCTTTCCCGCAGGACGTACCGCCCCAACAACGGGCAGCCATCCGCAACGAGACTGGCGACAAACACGCACGAAACCTATGCAAGGCCGTTGGAGCGTCCGTCATACAGACGGCGTTGTCTACTGCTCTGTATAAGTATGGAGAGCTGAGAGTACAAAAACTTACAGTACGTCTTGTGTGGGCATACCACTGGCACAGAGTTTCCTATGATACTCATCCATTGCGTTTAGAGAATCAAGAACGTCCTCGGCTGTAACCTCGTCCTCGCCATCATGGCGGAGAAAGTCGACCCAAATATCAAACCTCGAATACCGCTTCGATCCACTCGGCATCACGCGAAGGATCTTCTGCGGCGCGCGAAACGCGGGAACATGGTCCACATGGGAATTTCCCAAACCCAGCACAAGAGCAAAGCCGATGTCTATCGGCAACTTGTTTGTGCACTCTGTGAGCGCATTGGGCTCAACGGGACGGTCCAGCACATCATAGTCACGTTTGCCCCGTTAATCAAGGCGGCTCTGAGGGCATGTGGCATACGGAAGTGGGTTTGCAAAACCTTGGATTTGATTGTGTCGATGTTTACTGACTCATACTGGTAGCGTCCCAGATCCAGTTTGAGTTGGTGCCATTATGCAGGCGAGTATGTCTTCGTATTCATTGTGGTGTGTAGACATGACTATTGACGCTCTGTTCCGTGATTCTTAGGACAGCCCATGGACGTGGCGGCTGGCGATGATGGAATCGATCTCACCAACGGGGATAAGGAGGATGGTAGTAACGAACAGTTCGTCCTAGAACTCGCACACTAGGATCACAAGAAGGTGGTGAGGGGGGACGAAGAGTTTAACGTGGGCGGCCGGTTTGAAGGTACTCGTTGAGAAGTTTGCGGGTGGCAGGTCTCTTGGCTGGATTCATGATGTCTATACCTTACAATCACCATTGGATGCATAATATGTGGCGAGTTGGTTAACGATACTCAAGGTGCTCTGTCTTCATGCCTCAAGCGGTGTCCTACGGTAAGCGCTGAATACGAGCAGCAGGCTTGCAATGGTCTGCAATGGTCAACTGGTTCGAGATTCCGCAGTCTTCGTCTGGAAAGGCTTCGTAGCCGTAGCGTAGAAGACTGATATGGGCAGATGTGACCTTGTCATACTTAACTGGCCGTGCCGTGTTCACGAGGCCCCAGTATCACGATTGAGCCTGTGTGGCGAACGATCGGTTAACGCCGTGAGCCGGAGAGAAAGGAAGAGAGATGTCACTCACAGATGCATTATACGTCGCTGGAGTAGTGTCCGACAAGACCTGGTAAATTAGCGGATAAGCACTCTTCAACGAGAGTCCGAGTGATATGCGTTCCGGAATTGGTACATGGTCCGCGATCAACTGACCTTCGCCTACAAGCGACACAGTCGACTTGACACTTCATGTAGAGACAAGGACCACGCAATCGTTAAGAGTAAAATAGTATATAGTAGACGACTTTTGAAATTACAGCCGGCAATGGTCTAGACAAAAGCCCTGGATCTACGCATTCGTGAGCCCGATCTCGTCCGCATACGGAAGTACACGGGTGTCGCCGACAGCGACAAAGGTGGCCTTGCCCTTGAGGAGCTCACCGGCAACCTGCGATGTCGTCAGCAATATATTCGACGAACAAGTGGTCGCAATTTTATACACACCTTCGACACGGAGGCGCCGTCAAGCGCGCTGACAGCCTCAACCTGCTGCGACGGGGCAACGCCATTTGCATATGCAGAAATGGCACCATCCGTGCTCTCAAGTGCGCTGGAGAGCTGGAAGCGAGCCTTGGCAACGGCACGAGTAGCGTCCTCCTTGCTCACGCCGCCGGCAGCGGCCTTCAGGCCCTCAACAGCAGCCTTCGCTGCACCGGCGAGCTTTCCGGCCTCTCCCTCAATGAGAAGACCGAACAGGGCAGCATCGCTGTAAGGGAGGGTGGCGGCGCGGACGCTCACACCCGGCGTAACTGCTGCCGCGATGGGGCCGAGACCCGTAGACCACTTGACGGAGGGAGCCGGGCTGAGGTGTGCGGCAAGTGCGTGTAGCGCGGGGGTGGCGGCGGCGTCGGTGCTACCGAAGCCGACAAACACGGCGCTCGATCCATGACCAGAAACGCGGGTGCTACCACCAAAGTAGCTGGACTTGGCTGGCGAGGCGGATGCGGCGGTACCCGAGAATGCACCCTTGTTCTTGCCGAGACTTGCCAGCGACTTGTCAAGCGCGGCGAGGAGAGCTTCCTGCGAGATGCCGGTTGCGAGGATCTGCAGTCCGGGGACAGCCGAGTTGTGCAGAGCGGCGACATCTGCAACCGTCAACTGGTGCTGGGCTGCGGCGTCGGCGTATAGGGAGTTGCCAAGGCCATTGCGGAACGCGACCTGGTGTGCGAGCTCGAGAGCGTGGGTCGAAGGTGCGGCCTCGGCAGCAGCCGACTCGGCGGCGACAGCGGCAAGGACAGACTCGGTAAGCTCGTGACGCTCGAACTGAGCCGTCGCCAGGTACTGAGTAAGTACATCGACAAAGAATGCCCTATACAGTCGTTGAGAACTCTGCGTTAAACCAGTGTATTGACATGCGGACTTACTCGTCGCCACGCATGAACTCGGCCGTCAAGGCCAAGTGTTCCCGCGAGAGGGTCGAAGAGAGCACACCGCCGTAGAGCTCAGATTCGCGCACTGTGCCGAGCGTCGAGCGCTTTCCATTGCTCTGAAATATGAATACAAAGTCAGCATTCTGTTGCAACAACCAGTACACCAAATGTCATTCAAGATCCCTTCAACTTCTCCCAATCATTGCGTACGCTTCCAACCACGTATCCAACCCTCCGGCACTTCCAATATGACTGAAATATATACTCACAGTAAAAGCAAAGTTGGAAAGGACGTGCGCCGCGCCGGGCTTCTGCTCGTACCGTGCACCGGCCTTGAGCAAGAAAGTGACGCTCGCTGTCGGCTTAACGCTCTCGAAAACGGTAGTCTTCGAGGCAAAGCTGTCCGCTGCCGTGGCGTAACCACGCGCTGGGGCGGCGGCACGAACGAGACGGGATGCGCGAAGCATAGGGTTGGAGGAGTAGAAGGCAAGGCTTTCACCGTCAGACTTGCCAGTTGACCGTTCCGGCCACGGCCGATTGACGGCTGCCACGTGCCGAGTTTCCTGGCCAATGATCGCCGCGCCATGACCATCGCGCTCGGTGTCCTTGCTCTGCTCGACACCACCATGTACAACGATGATTCAAGGTCTCATATGTCTGCGCCGAGAGACTCAGCGAAGAATTGCCGCGGTGAAGCTCTACAGCGTATCATCAGAGTGACCAGCGCGTCATACCAATCCCAAGAGCCGTTGTCGTGCGGGGTCCATTCCTCAAATAGTACGGTCCGTTACAGTGCTCATACGCAATCTGGCGGGAAGATATACCGGGAGGAGATGGGAGTGAACCTCCGCGAAACTCTGCCAGACTTGGGTGCCGTTGTACGACGATCATCTTCGCGCACAAGACCGTGTGGTGGCAGGGGCTATCCTGAATGGGTAGCGTTGTACTCCCAGCGTCTCAACGAGCTTGGGCTAAGACCGCCGTCTGTGCTTCTGGACGTCCCCGCTGATGTATGCCCGAATGGGCGTGGCGCCCTCGATGAGTTGCCGCTCATCGCCTCTTGAACTCTCTCATTGCGCTCTCTTCGTATCATATCCGGGCGCCGTTACACCTGCACATGTGCAAGGGCCAGCGTATGCGGGTCAGACGCTTGAGCAGTCATCAAAAGCCGGCACCGATGCCTGGGGAAAATCTTGACCTTGTAGGTATCTAACCGAGGTGTCGTCTGCGTATTGACGTATCGACCCGGCATGTTTGCCTCCTGAACATGCAGGGGTCCGTCGAGGTTGCTTCTGCGATGGCTGTTGGGCTGATCGGACTACTGTGACTTTCAATCTCCGACCAGATATTACTAGAAAGATACGCTGAATCTCTCACAACCAAGGCTTCTCGATCCCACCACGAAATCCAGATGCCCGTGAACACCTCGCCAGACGTACTCTGGCCTGACAATGACGATCCGCGGCCGCGGCCTCCGCCCGTGCCCGAACGGGCTTGCTTAGTCCCTTGTGCAACTGCGGCCTGCGGTCGTACGAAAGCCTCCGAAGAAGCGCGCGTCCTTCTGCGAACAGCGCCGTTACCGTCCTCGGAGACTCACCTACTCGTGGACCGGCCGGTTTGGATGGCCGCGCCCGGGATTCGCGATACAGAGCCATTCAAAGCGACCGTTTCTGGCTTTATGTTGTAGCGAAGGTCGACTGCGGTCTCCCGCGCACATCGCGGGAGTCCAAGTAAGGACAAGTCGTCAAGGACCATGACAACACTCTGGTAGATACGCTGGAGTTGAAGAGATACATCGTCATTGGCGGTTCTGGAGTTTGAAGCAATCAACCTAAGCTACATGTGTTCTGGGCGTCATACGGTCATACGGGCGTAAAGCTGTCGTAAACGTGCTAGGTGCTACATGGTAGTTGTGTATCAGTGCGATGGAGAGTAGACGCCATTACAGCGCGCGTCGTCGACCCATGAAGAAACATCCTTCGTATCCCATTTGATCAGGCGGGCTCAATGTATCACGCCAACGTCCTGCCATGTTGCCGTTCGTATCGCCGGCCAAGTATCCGCGATAGAGCCACTTGCCCCGGTCGTCATCGATCTGAGCCTGTTAGACAATCATCGTCCAAACGGCAGAAAGGCGGCGCTCACATATTCTTTTGAAATCGTGATGAGACCATCGTGTAACATTACGCGCCCTACGAGATTGAATTCACCCCATGCAGAGTGACCCTGCAAAACTTCGTGTCATGACGATGATACCGGAGTTACGAGGTGGGATGCTAACCTCGCCAGTGATAATGACATCCTGCACTCGACTGGCGTATGCGGCATCCAGACCAGCTTCTGCAGCGGTCGGGGCGAGCACGTACTGCACCGGCTCAGGGCGTCCCGCCTCTTCGATAAGAAGCGTATTGCCTGACATCTGAAAACGTACGCCGGCAGGTAGGTACGCTCGCAAAGGATCACCCACGGACAGGGGACCTCCGCTTGATTGAACGCTGTCCGCACCGGTCTCGTCGTCATCAGATGCAAGATAATGGTATTCGCGTAGTCTGAAGGTTTGTTGGTGTCGCGCCACGATACTTTGGAAAAGTTTGATCGGGGGCGCTCCGGCGAGTAAGGCCGCGTAGGCGGTGAAATCGGTGTACTGCCATATGCGTTCAGGGAGGCTTTGAAAGCGCTGAAGCTATTGCTCACAGTGAATAGGCCTTCCCAAACTCCGGACATGCTGCCAGGCACGAATAGCCTCGGCGAAGTTCGCACAGTGGAGCGACGCCACAGGTTATCCCACTCATGGCTCATCGGCGCGGCATCCGAAACAGAGGAAGGGGTAATAGGGAGTGTGTCCTGAAGGCTGGGTTGTCGCTTCGAAAGAATGGGTGCCAGTACAAGGAATGATAGAATGGCCGGGCAGGCAAGAGACGGCGGGCATATTTGCGGGTACGCCCCATAAGCTGGGATTTCCGGGTTGGGCGGTTCGTCCAGAGGATACTATCGTATGGTTGAGTACTCGTTCGGCGCTGGTACATCCACTCTTCACCTGGTGGGCTGCTAGCGCGAAGCATTTCAATATTGTCACGACAGACCTCAAGCTGGACTGATCGAAGTTCACGTAGTTCTCTAGCAGCATATCGTGAGTATGAGAAGACCGCCGCACGATACGATCAGTACTGACCTGCCCGAAGCAGCAGCCAGAACAACCACATCCCGAGCCTAGAGATGTCATTGTTCGGAGGCCATGACCCTCTTTGTACTGTGAGAGCTGCACATGAAGAGCCCAGAGAGTCGAACCAGAAAGCAGTAAGCCAACGCTCGATGCCATAGTATCGCAACTGCTGCTCATTCCTCCCGTCATTCTCGAGCATCATGACGTATGACGTCAACAGGGTCTCATAGAGCAGGCGTAGGTCCGCCTCCGAGAACGGCTCTGAACCTTCCCGCTCATTGATCCAACACCCCTCTTGTGCTCGTATTCGACGAAGCACAGTGAATCGCCGCCTCAGCTCAATCGCCAGTTCGCTAGCAGAGACGGGACCGATGCGTCGAAGATGCGCGTTAGCATCAAACTTGTCGGCGAAGATGCGAGCGTAAAGGTGAGGGGTGGAGTCAAGCGATAGAGAAGATAGGATCCGGCGATTGACCAGGAGTAGCTGAAGGAGCTGAAAGGGAGGCCCGGGGTAGTCCGATTGAACAGAGAAGTACGCGATACGTTCGAGGATCTCTTGAGGCACAGCATCGAAGGCTGAGGCCATGGAGGTTACGAACAGAAGTGTGATGTATTGCACATCTGAGGCTTGCAAGCGCAGCGGTGTTAGCTTGGCTTGGTTCCGGCGCCAAAACCGGCCCGCTCTGACGCGATCACCTGACATTCTAGCGGGATAGGCGCCTGCCCGAGTCTTCCTCGCTTCACACCCGCTTGGACTCACGCACAGACGACGACAGTAGTTAAGGTAGATTAGATATATGTATAGAGTACATAAAGCATGCACAGATTTCCTGACATGGGTTGTCCGATTCCCCTCGCCATCACTCACGTCACGGACTTCCATAGCCCGAAAACGCCTTCCCATGGCGTCTCAGTCCCGGGGCTCCCCACGTGCCATCTACCAACGAGCTGACGAGAGCCCAGAACTAAGAGCCGTAATCAGACTATGCCATGCTGGTATTAGCGACGGGCTCCTACCGTATCCAAATAGCCACGCGGGTGAGGCTGCACTAGATCCAATCTGCGCCCCCGTGTCAGCTTCCTCGCCGTGGTGACGGTCATTCGGTGCGTACCGGATCTCTACGAAGAACAATGAGTCCATCAGATATCCTAACCCTGCCTTTGAATCTATATGCCCCCCAAGCCGCTCCAAAGTCCGGAGGTGTCTGGCGTGCATCAGAACCAAGCAAGAGTACGGGGAATGATCCCTGGGAATTGCTCACCACTCCAGTCACAGAGATATCAGTGACCGCGGACTCATTAAGCTCATGTATGCAGTCACAGGTGTAGACAGAAGCAGGGCAAGATGTGTCACGAGAACTTAAACGGGCGTCGTTCTGTACGGTGGTAAATCGGGTGCGGCCGCTGTGCGAATTTGATGGAAGCACATACCTCGAGACACTGCCCATGCAGGTTCAGGGCGCACTCACAGAGAACCGGTGGACCGACATATTCGGCTTCGAAAGCCTGTTTGCAGCAAACGTTCGGAGATAGAGGGGAATAACTGTAGTGCTCGTGCAGCTCCAGCGCGATGGGCTGGCGAGACAGATATTCGACCGGTCCCAGACCACGTGGTGGATCAGAATCCGACTGGACAGGATGCAGAGAGGGTAGCTGCGTCACGATACATGATCAGCATGCACTCATGTCTATAACGAGGGCTACAACTCACCAGTAGCGTACCGTCCCAGGAGCCCGCTAGGGCACCAATCCTGAATGGTCGCACGGTTGTTCCTGAAGGAAGTGTTGCATTCATGTAGATCAGACGTGCCCAGTCCACATCATTCTGGGAAGACGTAGACTGTATCGGAGAAGAATCAGAAACGGCGTGGGTCTGGCAGGCGGCATTATACTGGTCGAAGTCCTCTTTAGTCGGGCCAAAGCCTAGACGTTCGCTTCTGGCCGACGGTACATTTTGAGGATTCGCCAGTTTATAACGCTCAACACGCAGGACGAAAGAGAGTATTGCATACGGGGCAATGGCAGGCGTGTTGACGTCGATTGAATGTCCGAATTGCGAGATAGCAAGTTTCCGTGACGAAGCTTCGGACATGCACGGAGAGGAGGACGAGCTGCTACAGCTGCCGTGGTGTAAAACTGGTTTGTTCTGAGCATCCGGACCATCAGTTCAACAGACGCCAGACAGAGCACCAACGTACATGAAGTTGACCGAAGAGGTGTGGGTCTAGTAAGGAGAGCATTGTGTCCCGCTCATCTTCGCTCTCGGAGCGTAGACTGTCTGATAGTGCACTAGTCAGTCGTAGAATAGAGCAGTACAGTGGCTAGAAGACGCACCTGAGAACGACCATTGAGTCTGCAGAATCGCTGCGAGAGACCACACATCGTTGAGATCGGGACCAGGATCGCCCCGCATGAGATACGTTTGAAGGAACTCCCGCAAACCGGCCCATCGCAGGTGCATCCCGTTGGTGCCGTCGTCCTCCGATATCATCACATACGCAACAAGTAGGGATCTCAACATCTCGGGATGATTGAACCTTCTCGCCCGAATAAGCTTTAAGGACGCGAAGCGTTGTCGAGCCTCAGTAGAGAACATGACCGGATTGGACGGTAAGCAATGCGCCCGTCTTTGAGGTGCGGCTAGATCAAAGCGGTCATGGAATAGACGATAGAACCTGCCAGGATTATGCTCAGGAGAGAGTAGGTAATGCATGTATCGGCACGTTAGCATGAGAGCAAAGAGACCAGGGGGTGGGCCGCCGACGATTTCTTGAGATGCGACAAAGGCCACCACCTTCTCGATTGTTTCAGGAGGTAGCGAGAGAAGCATCACGGGGGAGTAGGGCTCGAGGCATACGTTCGGCACCTATTTAAGAGCGGCGACTGGGCTCGGAAGGAGAACGAAGCCAGGAAAGGGTGAAACTGTGGCGGCAATTCTCTGTCATCGGCATCTTGTTATTGGGGTCTCAAGCGACGCGGACCAGACGGCCAACAGAGCGGCGTCTTCAAGTGATGACGGAGACGAGCACAGGTCTCGCGGGCAGGGGTAGACATCGAAACAGGCAAGCCTCGACCAACGCGCCGAGGACGATGACATGGAGACCTCGTTGTGAGGAAGGCAGTCCGGCGGTAAATCTTGCGCTCAGCGCTCGGCATTTGAATTCCCCGTTTGCGAGGCATTAGGCAGAATCGGGAGTTCCTACGAGATAAACTGCTGCGAGACCGGCGGCGTCCTCGAACAAGGTGGCCGTCAAGGTTGCGCCGTTGCGGTGGGATCCGACAGAGCAACCGAGACACGTGGCATGACTTCGCACGTTAGCTCTACTAGCGCATCGGTTGTGGCTACTTGAAATCGGACCCTGACGTGCTGAAACCTTTGAGCTTAGCTGTTCGCCAAGGCCGGGTAACTGTAGGGACAAAGAAAAGGTCCATCACGAAGAACGGGCTTCACAGGCTGTGTAGTTGCCAACCAAGATATCGTACTACTATCATCCTTCCGCGAAGCGAGCCGACGCACCACTTCACAGTTTCTTACTTCTGATGATCAACCACGAGTCAGAGTGTTGATAGCCATCGGTGAAGGGATACTTACTTCACAATAGCGAAAGCCCTAAACGAAGTGACGGGGGGTATCTCAGATGCTACCGCTCAAGCAAATAGTGGACTTCTGTCCTGTCTCCGCGGCGAATGCCTAGTGTCAGATGCAATCGGCACTGGTCTTCGATACATCGTCGATAAAGCTCGTTGACGGATCCGAAATCGAACAGATGGCCCTTGGTGCGGAGAAAGATCGTCTCTCCAGGAAAAGGAATGGCCTAGTACCGTGCTACGTATACAGCTTGTGTCCAGCTCGGCATCTGGCATGGAAGGGCTTACGCTTGCATCGCTTGCTTGAAGGCCTTCGAATGTTTCCGCGCTACTATTACGGTCACCCCACGTAAGTCTCGTATCAACGCCGCAAGCTCAAGCGTCAACAGGAAGGAAAGGAAAGGGATTGTGCGAGAAGGCAGAGCACTGATGCGCACATACGTTCGTAAGAACATTCTATTCTGCTGGGCGGAGCCACGCCCGCCGAGCACAGCTTTACCACGATCGACCATTCACAAGCGCTACAAGCGCTCATAGAATCGAGGGGAAGTGGTCCCTCGAAGGCCGGCGAGCTCATACTAACTGGATTGAGTTCGAAGAAGCCTACGAATGACAAAACCGCGGGGACCTTTTCGAGCGGCGAACAACACGCCGACTCTCTCACGCATATGGCATAGGACTCTATGCACCAGAGCTATGAACATGATGATGATAGACGTCAGACAGGTTGCCTGAATGCAATTCGAACTATCTGAACAAAGCTTCTAACGCACCAGCTTTGCTGTCATGGTGTTTTGATCCGCTCTCCGCGGCGGTATGCCACGATGCTCGCAGTCAATGGGAGCGAATACGACTTGGTACGGGATTGATGGCACGCCACAGTTGGAACGGAAGGCATTCTGGTAATAGACTCTATCCCGGCGCAAACAGGTAGGTGCATGTCCGTCCTTGTATGGGAGAAGAATAGAGACAAACAACACCGCCATTCAGGCGGCATTGACGGACCTTCTCTTCGCCGACGGAAGAAAAACTGTTCGGCGAGGAGTACGGGATGAAGCTATGGGTAAATAACTAACCTGAGAAGATCGAGAGAGTTCGCCGCAGATCGAGCTCATGACACTGGCCGATCGTATGAAGTGCAGTAGAGCGTGTGCAATACCACTGTACCCGGTCCCTGTGACACATATTCCCAGACAACAAGATGCTGGCGGCCGCGCATCGTAACGCCCACCACGCTCAAATCCAGCGCGCAATGGTTTTGGTATGGTGAGCCCGTTCGCCGCGTTTCGTTCCATCATCGACCCTCGGCTGATGCCAATGCTGGCGTTCCATCGCATAAAGCTATATATTTTCAACCAACGGTGCTCGGGGCCTAACTAGCTAGATCAGCGCCGATCTTTGATATAGTACCTAGAACACCCAACACATACCGCGGTAGCTTTATCTTCGCTTCACGACCGGCGGCCTGAGGCTTGAAATCTGACCGCTGTGCCACTTGGTGATGTAGAGCTTGACGGATGCAAGCTTGTGCGCAAGCATTAACCACAGATGCCGCCTGCCACACATGCGCGCCGGCGTCATGTACTTGTTCGGCCCTATGTCATTCGCCGTGATGTGTTTAAGGGCGGTGTAGTAGAGCCCGTCAAAACGCTATGGAGATACTGTTTTGTCTTGTGGTCCTCTGTGAGGGAAGTTCCAGTTAATATCCGTTGAGCGCATAGACGAGACGACAGCCCGCCAGGGCTCACAGTCGCACAAAAACGATAACTCTTCGAGTCCTGACCCGGTAAGGGTTATACCGATTGTGACTGGCCTTGCAACACGCAACACCCAAGGGCAAGTTAACCGCCGACGAGATTCTCGAAAAGCGTCCCTGAGTACATCAGGATGTCGCTTGCACCCTACAAATTCGAACCGTTAGAAACGCTGATGCATGATCCTCGAGCATCGGAGGACATAAAGCGATAGCAGCTAACACGAGGCGTGCGTGAAACAGGGAATGAGAGCTAGCAGGGAGCGATCGCGTTGTATGGTGCTCCCTGATGTTGCTATACGTGTAACAGCATTAAGCTATTCGGGGACATACGGTTGAATAGCGTGTATCATTTCTGCACAGACTGCGGTTCGTCCAAATGTACAAGCCTCGGATATATAAGGCGCGCCGGAATTGCCGATACGGTATAATAGGGAAGCCGGGGCTCCGGGTACGCAAAAGCCTGTTGAAAGTTTCACGGCAGTGACGAGTCGTATTACGTCGACGCCGCAGGGCTTCTGGACCAACACACAGCGGCTGTCATAACATCGACTTTGCCGAATTGAGATGCATCCAGACACAGTCATGAAGTCAGCCGGGTGTAAGTACTTCGAGGGTCCTTGAACGGGCACAACAGCGCGAGAGCCAAGCGAGGTCGCGTTGAGGTCGCGCGTGTACAACGTGCGCGGCCGAATTGAGTGAACGCACGTGCCTATTCCCACGCAAAAATCTTCCCTCAACTCTCCAGTCGCCATCGATCGCGACTTCTCCAGCAACCACCACCGCTCACTATCGTCGCCATGTCTTTCGATCTCGCCAAACTCGAGGCTCACCTCACGACCCGCTCGTACATTGAAGGGTGAGCGTTTTTTCTGGACTTGTATCCCTGGCCGGTTTTCCAGGATGACTCTACGCTATGGTCCGTGTTTCCAAGAAGCGACTAGACACCGCTGCTCAAGCATGCCGACAACTCATTCACCTAGCTATCTGACTCCTCCATTGCCTTTTTGGCGCGATCTGTGGATTAGTGCATCGATCTGACGCTCGATCTCCAGGTACACGCCGTCGCAGGCGGATGTGCACGTCTTCAAGGCGCTCAGCGCCGTCCCAGACTCCAAGACTTCCCCTCACGCCGCTCGCTGGTACACCCACATCAAGTCGTATGAGTCCGAGTTCGACTCGCTGCCCGGCTCGAGCACGGCAGGCGAGGCCTTCACTAAGGCTGCTGCGCCCGCCGCGCCCGCGCCTGCTGCCGAGGAGAACGATGACGAGGTCGACCTGTTCGGCTCCGACGAGGAGGTCGACGAGGAGGCCGAGCGTATCAAGGCCGAGCGCGTCGCTGCTTACAACGCGAAGAAGGCAAACAAGCCCAAGACCGCTGCCAAGGTGAGAGTACTCTTACTCTGCTCTATTGAGTCCGTCTCATATTCTACAGTCCGTCGTCACCTTTGAGGTGAAGCCGTGGGACGATGAGACCGATATGGTTAAGCTCGAGGAGGCCGTGCGCTCCGTTGAGATGGAGGGTCTCGTTTGGGGTGCCAGCAAGCTCGTTCCTATCGGCTACGGTATCAAGAAGCTCCAGATTACCATCGTTGTTGGTGAGTTGCTTCATATCCCTTTCTCGTGTCTACCCAGAGCTGAATTGTCTTAGAGGACGACCTCGTCTCCCTCGAGGATCTCGCCGACAAGGTCGCCGAGTTCGAGGACTACGTCCAGAGCACCGACGTCACTGCCATGCAGAGTACGTCCAGTCCATTGGGAATGCGTCTTCCACTCAGACTAACATATGCTTCAGAGCTCTAGTACATCGTTTCTTTCATATTCACGGGATTTGGCCGCGAAGGGATCGTTGTACAAAGTGTAGAAAATACCAATGTATACCAATTGTAGAACCTACACCGCTATCGCGCTTTGCGCCATGTTTGATTCTATCGCGTCTACGATGCACTCGTCGATGCCCTTAGATTGCAGCATGGGCTGTGTCCCCCAGCAAGAAGGGTGAATCACTTTGCTTGCAGTTGAACCATCAACATGCATCATGCATCATGCATCATGGCTCGCGGCGTCATAGAGCGGTGAGGTTGGAACCTGCGATCAAAAAAGTGATACTTCGCGCGCGTCCATAGGAGATCTGAGATCGTCAATCGACGTGATTGTACTCTGCCACTTCCTGCGAACGCAACGTTCACAGGTCCCCGTCGATGTCTCATACGTCTGGACCTGCGCGCACAAAGCGAGGGCGGGGAGGAATCAGACTCCCGAATGCTCATGGCGGTTCGCAGTCCTCTCAGCCTGAAGAGTTCTTTAGATCAGATAGTCTATCCCAGTTCTCTACTGGCGTGGTGCCAGAGTCCCTGTGGTACTGCTCCGACTTCAGACTGGCGGCTTCACTTGTGATCATCCAGCCATCGTCGGGGCGCGTGGTTCTAGTTCACGATACGGCGAAGAACTATTGGTTTCTGCCTCGTGGAAGAAAGGATGTAGGAGAGTCGCTCGAGGAGGCGGCTCTGCGAGAGGGCTACGAAGAGGTCCGCATGACCCTCGATCTGAGGGCAAATGCTGATGCAGGGACACTAGAGTGGATACCGAGCAACGTTCTTGCCTCTCCTCCTTCCAAGCGGCGCTCCCATTCCGCCTGATGCCCGCGCCGGGGATGATGGACTTCGGACGGAGCCCATATACATTCGCGCCATGGGTATACCCAGCGTCGTTGATAGATCCAACCGCATTCGTTCGCGCGGAGAGGAGTACATCGTCTTCTTTTACGTGGGCCAGATCCCCGCTGATGCTGTGCGTGTTCCTCCGTCCCCTATTGACGCTCGTACCGATTTCTATTGCAGATCCGGGAAGAGGGTACCGGTATGGCCGATGAACAGGCTTACGTGGGAAAACTAGTAACGCCCGAGGAAGCGAGAGAGCATCTTGCGTACGATCCGTTTCTACAGACGGTGGTCACAGTCGCTCTAGACAGGTGGCGCGCAACCGAACGCCATGCGTCTGGACAGAACAGTGAGATCGAGGACAGGACTGGTACCAGCATACGCCAGACCAGCGACACGACAGACGCTCCAGCGGAGACGGTATCCGTAGGCGCTGCTTCAAGACCTGCCTCACAAGGCCGATTCTCCAACTGGTTTCGGCGGCAGTCCGGCTCAGGCGGTTAGGTTAGAGTATGCGCACCTCGACCAACACCATCTTTCTATTCACGTCACAAGATACCCTCGTTATTGTTCTCGATATCCTGGCTCCTCTACCCTCTACATGATGAATGAAGACGACGTTGACCGTAGACTTTTGACTCGATAGCCCGACTGATCTCAAGTACTTGATGTGCGATGGGACAACAACTATGCTACAACACAGATTACAGCAAACGACTAAGAGCCTTCAGATGACGCAGATGACGATATCAATACATGTGTGAGCACCAGAGACGCAGTATCAGGAGGTAGTATCCTCCGTGCGCGGCTTTTTTGATGAGGCGATCGTAGGAACGCCAGTGTTACGCTGTCCGACGTCGAAACCACCGTCGGGCTCCACTGCGCGCTTGCGCTTCTCTCCTGTACCCTCTTCTCCCGAAGGCGTAGCAGTGATAGCAGTTGTACCGTTGGACTTCTCTGTGTTGCGCGAGCCGCCCCGCCCGCCACCACGACCACCCCGTCCTCGTCCTCCGCCACGGTTGCCTCCGCGCCCTCCGCGGCCATGACCCCTGCCGCGTCCGCCACCCTCTCGCGGTTCTGACTGTTTCATGACGACAAACTGGTATACGCGCCTCGCCGCTGCTTGAGCTCGCTCAATGGTAAATGCGCGTTCGGTCTCCTCTGTTCGTACATGCGTCAGCCGATTGAAGATAAACGCAGCTTGAGAGGCATACCATCAATGAAGTCCCATGTAACAGACTTTCCGTTGATAGTCTTCACTGCGCCGCGGACAAATTCAATATCCTCGTCAGTGAGCGCGCGATCGAAACCGACAAGTCCCGAGTCTTCGCCCCGTTCGTACTTGATGAATGGCAGACGAGCGTAACGCTCCTTGAGAGGACTCTTGACGTCGTCAAAGGGGCATTCTCCGCCACAGCCAGCGAATCGTAAGGTGGTATGGTTGATACGCGGCACCTCATCTTCTTGGACCCGCGCCTCGGACGCGTTGGTTCCCTTGATGGGTAGACGGGTACCCATGAACTCTAGGATGACCTCCTTTTCAGCGGGCTTCGTCTTGGCGTCCGTCTTCTTCATTTCCCTGAAAGCGTCGAAGGTGCGGTGTCCGCCGCTGAAATTGTCGCGCTTGATAGCCTTGCCCGTCAAGCCCTTTTCTTTGATCTTCATCTCAACGTAGGCGTCCTTGGTCATGATAACGAGCTCATTGCCTTCCCATGTTGGCTTCGGGTCGGCTTTGAGGAACTTATCGACCGTCGCCGAGTCGGTGAATTCGCAGAAGACAGATCCCTGAGCGATCACATTAGTCTCTACACATTCATAGAAACCATCAACGCGACACAAACCTTCCACTTCTTGTCATCGTCGCGGCGCATACGCACGACATTCACATTGCCGTAATGCGCGAAGAACTCCTCGAGCGCCTTCTGCGTATTGGACTTTTCTTCGCCAAAGCCTTTCTAGTCCGTCGGTCAACTTTGAAGGAATTTGGAGATGGAAGTACATACTGCGTATACACTGCGAGCCATCGCGTCCTTGGGCTCCTTTACTTCGTGACGCCTGCGAACGTTCACGCCCTCCTTGTCCACTTCGAGTTCCGAGCTATAGCGTAGAGCTTCTACTAGCCATTCCTTGCCCTCCGACTCGTACTCGCGCATACGTTTGAACGAAGACACGGTAGATATCGGTACCCAGTGGCCTTCGTTCGCAGTGTGCAATGTCCACATGAACCTATACTCTCTCAGCATGAGCGGGAAGGGAACTCCGAGTCACGTACTTGTCATAGGGAAGGTTTGAGTCGGCAAAGTAAAATTCAACTAGCAACTCGTCAACAGAATTACAAGACGCAGAATGTGGACGCCCAGTGCACGCACTTTGCCTCACCGCGGCGCGTTCGCGGTCAGAGAGCTCGCGGTCTGCCTTAGGAGCTTCACCCATCTCGGCGTCTACCAGAGCGGGCGCAGTCAAGGCCTCAGTCAGCTCGGCCTTCGTCTCCTGAGGGGTTGTCGCCATACTGGCGTCGGCAGACATGACTGGTGATGCAAGACAAGATCAGGAGTCGGAAAACATTCAGAAAATCCTTGGATCCCGCGCGCACGTGACGACATCAATCCACAAGTTCAATCGCAGCAACGCTTGCCTTCTACCTCCATCTTTGTTAAACAAATGATTGTAACCCAGAAGTAGGGCTTCAATACTGAGTTTTGCATCTGTGCTCATGACGGGAACACTGCCATAAGAAATGGTCGTTCGGCAGACTCCGTAAAGCGGAGCGCGCGACTTGTGGCGCTGACCGCTTGCACTGCAACCACGACAGCCCTCGTAGTCGTGCCTCTCCCCCCGACCTTTATAAGCTCGTGTATCTTGAGAACTGACTCGCGGTCTCTTCACTTTGTCCCCTCATGCTTCGCGCAAAGCAACGGCTTTCAGCCGCATTCTCGCACCGGAGCTCCCACACAAGTGATGAACCGACTATTGTTGGGAGTCCACTACAGTCGCTAGACTCTCCGGTTGCGATCTCCGGTACACCCCGCGTACATGAAAAAGTCTCACCGATCACTTTCTCATATCTTGTCTTGCAGAAATATCCGTCCGCTCCACCGATATCGCCACGATCAGCCGCAAGCTCACAATTCTTGTAGATGGCCGCGACATCATCGAGTAGGTTCACACGCCCTCGATGTCATAGACAACTGCTAAAGTCTGCGCCTAGGGATGGGCACACGATAGCATTTCTTGATCTGCGACCATTGTTGACTTGGTCAATCCATCCACCTCTGTAAGCTTACACTCGCGACCACGCTCTGCGGCTGATAGTCATCTTTCTAGCGGCATCGCACCTGGAGTTGGATTGGAGATAGATATCTTCCGCAAGAGGTCAATCACCCATCGGTCGCGAAGGCTGGTCGAGGTTATCCAGGTCACAGGAATGACACTGATCGAGGCTTGCACCCTCGGCCATGACTACGGTAAGTGCATAGACGACTCATATGACACAAATCCTCATGTAACAAGTTCACGAAGAGCCTCATAGTCTCTTGAGCGCTTCCATCTCTCTTCAGAGAGCTCAAGCGGCGGTACGCTTTACCTCTGGATGCTTCGACACGCTCTGAAGCTCGAGGTAGACATCGTCACGAGGCTCAACGTCTGAAGGAACCATTGCACAAGGATCCGGAAATACACCTAGAAATGCGAGTCGCATCTCGTCGAAACCCATCACCCTGATTCTCCTAAGATTGGATGAACTGGAGCGCATCGATACTTTTGCCCCTGTAGGTCCCTATCATAGCTAATGTTGCACACGTGCTTACGTCTCTTCAGTACTTGAGCAAGATATCAGATCTTCGAGGCGCTATTCACGCAATCGTTGAGGTATGCTAACTCTCATATTATGAAAGGACTCCTCAAGCTCATCTCGGCAAGCCGGTAGAAATGTCTTCACCAGCATTGTTCAGTACATTCGAAGCCCTAGGCAATATGATCGCGTCAACTCTAGGGATCCTTGTCTCTCCTGGCTGTCGCGATCGCCCTCAAACCTGCCCTAATACAGTCACCACTACACTGGCCTTGATCCTCAACGCGTGCGCTCTCGTACGGGATGTATGGGGTCCTGCCTCGGGCAAAGCTGTGTCTCAGTGGCTTCAGGACTTGCTGGCTCAGTTCACCGTGTCTCTGAGACGCGCGATGCGTAGCATCGAAGGGCGCAAGGACGAGGTATTATCGACACGCATCTACGACTCGGATGACGTACCCAGTCAACACAACGACGTCCGCTTGAACAACTCCGATTCTAGGAGCACGTTATGTGCGTACCCAGGAAGAACTGGTGGAGCTGCAAGGCTGACTTCTTTTGCCAGCGCTAGCTCAGGACAGATTGATCGAGCTCTTGGACCCTCACTTTCTCCCTACAGGCTACCCAACATCTTTGTGCATGGAAGGGACCCGTACTCAGATTCTGAGTGACGTCGAAGATTGGCTCAATGACCTCGAGGCGCCAAATCTGCTGTGGCTGCGCGGCGGACCCGGCATGGGAAAGAATACGCTGATCTGGACCATCGCCAATATGCTAGAACGTCGGCAACGCAACGCCAGTTTCTTCTTCTTCCGTTATCAGCACTACACGCCATTGGACCTCTGGCGCACGGTGGCCTGTAGTTTGGCATGGTATCACCCTGCTCTCAAGGCTGCAATTACGGCCAACTTAGAGCGAAGCCCTGATCTTCGTCGCGATGTACCGCGATTGTTCGAAATGCTCATCGCAGGTCCTCTGCGGGCCAACTCGCAAGCCCTAGTACGGGCTGACATCGCACCGGTCATTGTGATCGGGTCTCTTGATGCCTGCATTCAAACCGACGAACGGCAGTGGCATGCCCTTCTTGAGACGCTTGCGCAGTGGCTTCAGCTTCCGAAAGAGTGCAAACTTGTGTTCACCAGCTGTTACCATGAAGAAATCGAACACCATCTTGGCGGGCGTCTGCCCACTAAGCGTATCGAGATCCTCCCCGAAGACAGTCATCAGGACATTTCGACTTACGTCCGTCGACGGGCACTCTCCATCGAAGCCTCCACCGACGAGTCCGTTGAGACGACGCCTCTGAACGCGAAACAACTCGCTCAACTCGTCGATCACGCAGCTGGGTTCTTCCTTTGGGCTCGTTCCGCCATGGATTACGTCGCTTCGTCGGCGGATCGACCGCGAGCTCTGGAGACTCTTGCAACCAAAGGCCTTCATCAGAAGCTAGACGATGTCGATGACAAGTTCGATGGCTTGCTCGACGACGCGTTCGAGGGGATCAAGCCGCCAGGATTCAGAGCCACGTTTGGAGCTGTGTCCCTCGCCTTCCGTCCAGTTTCAGTCGCAGAGCTCGTCAATTTGCTAGGAGAGAACTTCGCTCTCCGTCAACCGGCCGATACATGTTCTCGTCTGTCCAGTGTTCTTAACGTTGCGGATGTGGCTCTCCAACGACTTTGTGTCTATCATCCTGCATTCACTGCATATCTCACCGATGCTCGACGAGTTGGGTTGCGCTATGACGCGTTCCTCGTTGATGAAGATCGGACACATCGCCGGTTTGCCCGTTCGTGTCTGCGGCGTATGCTTGACCCCCAGCATGGTTTACATCTCAACATGCCTCCAGATGCCGCATCCCATATCGATCCCGAGCTACCATCGCATGCGATGACCTCGTCCCTTGAGTACGCTTGTCAGTACTGGCATGAGCATCTTCTCGCTACCAAGGGCGACGTTGAAGAAGATATGCTTCGGCACTTGAATGAACTCTTCCGAGTGAAGCTTCTGTTTTGGATGGAAGTTATGAGCGGTCTTCGTGTCATAGACTCCGCCGTGCGGGCTATGACGCGTATTGCTCGCCGGCTCCGATCTCAAGTGAGTCTTTATTTGGCGCTTCTATGCACGTCAAGTCTGATATACCCGCAGGATCCGGATCTCTCTGCACTGGCCGATGAAGCAACTCGATTTGTACTAGTTCATACGGACGCCATCGCATCAAGCGCTGCACACATATACAACTCAGCATTAGCATTTCTTCCCAAGACCTCCCTTCTCCACCCTCTATACTCTCACCTATCCGACAAGACTCCGCGCGTCATCACTGACCCGCCTTTGCGGTTGCAGCCGCTGGATGCTCTCCACCATAGGCAAGGAGAGGTGAAGTCGGTCTGCGTATTCCCCGATGGCACCTGTATGCTAGTCGCTTTCCAGCCCGATCCGGTGTCAAGCTTCGCGCTGTTACAAACGGTGGACATTCAATCTGGTGCTACCATAAACACGTCAACCGCTATCGATGGAACGGTTATGGACGTCAAGCTGTATATGGATGGTGAAGGCGTATGCGCGGCTGTAGCGGTGACGGACGGGTGAGCCCTCGCTTAATCTGGCATTGCTTGCGGATACTTCCGGACGGATAGCTCATGGTGTTTACAGCACGCTGCAGCTGTGGTGCTTATCAGATGGCATACAGCATTCGGCTACCCTCAAAGGACACGAGGACTACGTACGCTGTGTAGACATCGACCAGACCAGCTCACGGCTTGTTAGCGGGTGCGTGGATCAGATAACTGGCGATCGATCATTACTCATGACGAACATGCAGATCTGACGACTGTACATTGATTATATGGTCTACGTTGACGGCAAAGGCTTTGGGGAAACCCTACACGGGACACCGGGATTGGTGAGTATGCAGAACTGCATTGCCCACGATCGGCTGCTCAAGTGATGTGCAGGATCCGCGCAGTGCTTTTCACCGAAGATGGACAGAAGATCATTAGCGGATCAGATGACAAGGTTGGCTTGCTTATTCGCTTATTCGCGTATCTGTCTTTATCTTGTTCCAGAGCATCCGTGTTTGGGTTGCTTCGACTGGCGTAGAATTGCGACGGATAAGCGTACATGGCAGCTCTGTCCGATCCTTGGCGTTGTGCCCTTCTGGGCTCATTTCCGGTTTGTGGTTCTCCTATGATCATATCTGGACAGGTGCACTTACATCCGTCGTGCAGGAGGAGACGATGGGACCATCGTGGTCACTTCGTTGGAAACGGGTTCTGAGTTACATCGGCACTCACGCGCTCATTTCTCGTCCATTCGCACCATAATATACGACTCTCTTGCACCGTATGGGGCATCCTTTGTGACAGGGGCCGCGGATGGCACTGTGCAGCTATGGGATGACAGCATTCAGCCCTTGGAGGAGCGTCTATACTTGCATCAAAGCAGCGTCGTGGATATCGCTCGGGTGGATCGCTGTCTCGTCTCTGCGGCAGAAGGTATCTAGATACTATGGATGTTCCCATCATCTGTACTCAGAGCTGACTCCCCGCATCTTGCGTAGATGGCTCCATTGCCGCGTGGACTCCTTGGAATCTCTCGGAGACTCACGTTGACGCAAGCTTGCAAAACAACGATGAGAAGCGCAGGCTCAACTCACGGATGGGACCCGTACTGCTTGTTCAGGCGAACGAAGAAGACGACGAGGTCCTCGTACTCGATGCGTATGGCATTTGGCGATGGACATTCGAAGGGGATCTACGCTCTAGATCCGATTTCATCTCGGAGTCTGAGCATGCCCTTGGACCTGCAAGCGCCGTCGCGCTGTCTTTGGCTGGGAACATCGCGGCAATTGCCCTGAGTGATGGGTTCATTTGTCTCGTCGATGCATCGACTGGACACGCGCGACATCTACCCTTCAGTGCTCATGTCGCTGAAGTTGCTACTTTGGCGTTGTCTGCTGACGGAAAGCACCTCATATCCTCCGCAAGAGACGGTAGCGTCCATGTCTGGTCGACTGACAGTGCTTCTCTCATCGATCCACCCAACCTGTCTGGCCTGCTCGCTATGGGTATACCAGAAGAAGAAGCTCCAGCAATAGCCGCATCGTCGACGCATTACGTGTATGCATTGGACTCTGTTCATCTTTACGAGTATCAAGCAACAGACGAGACACCCCTAGCGGACGCTGAGGATAATGCTTCTGCATTGGAGTTTTCCTACGATGGTACCAAGGTTGCCGCGTGCTCCTCGAGTGGACGGGTTACCGTATGGAGTATCCTTGACAGAGGGATCCTCTATTCGCATATACTGGTCGACTTCCCGAACGACGGACTACCATACCCCATCGTCTTCGACAGTGCCTTGGAGATGCTCGCCTACATCCCTCAACGCCTTGACTCGCACCATGATCATCATGAGTACTCCATCTCTGACTTGCGAACTGGAGAAACGATGATGACGGTCAGCGGGATCGCCTCAATGCCAACATGTGGGGCATTCTTGCGCAGCAAAGGACGCATCATTGTTGGCAGCAGCGACGGGGTCGCCCGCATAGTTGACTATGAACGAGCGATTAAATACGCCGCAGGCCCAAGACATGGTGATAGTGTGAGCTAGTTTTACGACATGGCGATGGCCCCCACTCATTCCGCTCCAAGGTTCGCGCAGTCGCTTTCGCCCCAGATGGGCGTTTCATTGCTTCTGGAGATGATTCGGGGCGTATCCTTCTTTGGGACACGGAAAGGAAGGAGCAAGTTGGCCATGTGCAGCCGCACATAGATGAATGGGTCCGCGCTTTGGTTTTCACGCCCGATGGGGAGTACTTGCTTTCCTGCGGCGATGATTGCAAGATACGCGGATGGCGTATCCCAGCGCTGCAACCGGCGTACGACCCGCTCCCGTGGCATGACGGGCCCATTCGCGCCCTTGTCCTGTCGTCGGGTGGCCAGTATCTCCTCACCGCGAGCGAGGATAACTTTGCATGCATCTGGGAGCTTCCGGCACCCTCGGGCCCAACCGGCGATCCTCGGCCTGTACTCGTACGACAGCTAAGTCATGCAACTAGGGTTTTATGTGCAGCCTTCAGCCGTGGTGGTAGTAGCTTGGCGGTCGGGGCTGCTGACGGTGTAGTCCATCTATGGCTTAGAGTTGGCAATGACTATACCAACTGGAGCAGTAGGTCACTCCTCGGTCATGTCGGATCCGTCAACGCGTTGGCTTATTGCTCGAATCTGGACTCCGGAATATTCGTATCTGGAGGAGAAGATCGTACAATGCGCGTTTGGGATCACCTAAGTGGCGCTACCCTCCGTACCATCCAGGTGCACGACGTCGTACATGCCATAGCGGCGTGCCCTATGGGTCAATTGGTATTCGCCGCATCTCGCGATGCCACCATCCGCACCTGGGATGCCAATACAGGCGAAGAGACGGCCCTACCCCTCCGGATCCATTCAGCTCCGGTTCTGTGCGTCGCACTCTCATCGGACGGGAGGCGCCTCATCTCGGGCCATTCAGATGGTCGGGTGACCATACACGACATTGCCTCATCTCTGCGCGTCTGGCCACAGGCTTTTCAGCGCTCCGCTCCTAGCCCGAGCATGATCTGTGGCGTAGACAAGGAGGGAATCGCGCTCAGTGCTCAACTTTACAAAGACGGTTGGCTGCGCGGGGGTCGCGGAGAAACGCTGATGTGGATACCTCCCGCGTATCGTCCGGGGTTTTGCGGCCCCTCTTGCAGCACCGTATTGGGTGCTGCTGCAGTCCTGCTGGATCTTTCGACCTTCGCCCACGGCGACGCGTGGTCGCCCTCGTACGCGCGCAGTCACCAGACCTAATTGGTCCGTATTGCAAGGTTCAGACGCATGCGCGTACGGTTAGGCTCACCCGGAACGAGGTACCTAGTCATGATTGACGTCTACGTGCGTCAATGCTGGTGGCCTTTCGTCTCGCAGTAGTACTTTACCTTCTCCTCATGTAGAAGACAGTCAGGTACATAGCACCCTCGGATGACGATCTACCGGTAGCTACCGCCTCCGACTGATTGCGGTTTTTCAACTTTGTCGTGTGTGAATGATTGTCCACATGGAGCGGGCTTTGCGCTGTTCTGGTCTGACGATCAACCGCCCTGACGAGGCAATTCAAACTCCTACGCCGATATGGAAGTGTGAGCCGCAAGTTCGTAGTTATCGGTCCATATGTACGGCTGTGTTGTACGCAAACCAGCGCTTCGATCAGGCGAGCGGAGATGCTGGATGGCAGTCGGAGCTCGCAGTCGCTAGCTACGTTATTGTCATTTCGGCCTGAGGGTCCAATCGACGAGGCACGCTCGGAGTATAAAGCTGCAACGGAGCCATGCGCACCGCCGGCATCGATCTCATAAAGTCGCCACCATGGGCGATCAGGACGACGACCGGCCAGACAACCCGTTCTTCCCTGCCGCGCTCAGCGCCACCGACCTGCGTTTGCCCGAAGCTGCTCTTGTCGCTGCCCCGCCTGCCTTCATGACCAACCCCGCGGCGATCACCGATTCTTTGAGCGCCCATCATCCGCACGTGCACCCCGTCCACCACGGCGGCACTATGCAAGCAACTACTACTGCGCTTCCCGATGGCGACGACGCGGAGGATGACGACGGCACATCCGATTCGGCCAGCGACGCGACGGAGCTGGACAACGAAGACTTCCCGCACTACTTTGACGAGCGTGCTGGTCGACTCTTCCATTCCCATGGTATACAAAGTTCTTACACTTTTCCCGTCGACGGGACTGAGTGGAAGGTTCGTTTGGTACTTGATACAATATTGATACTATACATGCTGACGCTCGATCCTAGCGACTCAAAGCTCTTCACGAGCTACTCAAGCGTGTCCTCGGCAGCAACTATGACGGACCCGTGGCAGAGGTCTTGTCCCAGGAAGGGGCGACCGGGCGTATTGTCGATCTATGTACCGGCACCGGTCTTTGGTGCGTGCTCCACCTCAGACCACGTTCCGATACTCACACTCTCCAAGGGTGATGGACATGGCGCGCGAATTTCCGCGCGTGCAATTTCGGGGCTTTGACAAGGGTGCGCTGCTTCCATTTCGATGAGCGTCAAGATTTGGCTACTCAACGCCCACCAGTGCCGATCATGACCCGTTACCCGCTCGACAATTGCCACTTTGAGATTGGAGATGTGCGCGAGCATCTGCGCGTCGCTGATGCATCGGTTGACGTCGTACACGCTAGGATGACCGGTTTATCTGTACGTTTGGCCGCTCTAGACCCGACTTCGACAGAGTAGGATGTGAACAACTATTCCAGATCGTGGACTATATGTCCTTGCTCCGACAGGCGGCTCGCATTCTACGACCGGGTGGTCTCTTCATCGCTGCCGAGTGGGGTGCATACCCCGCCTTGCACCCGTCTCACCCGGCCGCGGCGAACCCGACGACGGAACTGCCCAACATAACGCGTTTCTGTGAGGCTCTCAACGAGCTTATCAAGTATGCGATTCCACTGCGACTTCAATTCGTGTTCTAACATACAGTTGCAGTCACGGCGCCCCTACTCTCGCGATCACACTCCCAACTCTGATCAATATAACGGGCGCCTTCGATGCGCCCAGGGCAACAACTCGTGCATTTCCAGTCGGGGCCCCTTATCCTGGTGTCGAGCCTGCTGCCATTCTCCTTGATGTTGGTGAAATCATGCACCGATGTACTTGCGGCTTCGTCGATGCAGCTGTGGCGGGGCATCCTACGCTGGCCGAGCATGCCGATCTCGTGAAGCATGAAGTCAATACTCACCCCGGGGTAGTTGCTGTGTGGCACACTGTTCATGCGCGCAGGCGCTGATGCTTTCAGCTGGACGATGGGGACATAGTGCGTGATGTGTAAGGCCGTAGTGCCCGTAATGCTTTATATATGATGCTTGGTGTCACGCCCCGTCCGCGACGTTTTGACTAGGATCCGGAATCCAATTGCAACTTTCTTCTTCTTTCATAACTTTTGTTGGCCTGAAGTGGTCGCGGTTTGAACAACCATCCCATCTGTCAAGGTGAATCGTGTACTAGCGATCTATAGTTGAGCTGTCGTCCTGCGAAATATGCTGAAGACCCCACAAGGTGGTACACTATATCAACCTCGGGTATATGAGCGAATAGCAGTGTAGTTGTTAGGTTGGCTCGTAAAGTTTCTGCTGTGCATGAGCGTATTGAGTCGAACAACCGCCGTGGATGTGGAGAGATAGCACGGTTTCGCGTATTACCGCACTCCTTGATGACTCATCTAAGCATCTTGTTACAAAGCAGGCTAGCGTTCACAGTTGTTGTCATCTAAGAGTATGTCTCACAGCATCTCTATCATGCCTCACCATCAAGAGGGCAGACTCGCGAAGGTGCACCGAACGCGTGGATATTACGGGCGTCAAGACCCGTGACCGCGATGGGATTCGGGTCGCCGCCCCGGGGCTGCCGGCTACCTTCGAACACACGTTCCTTGTTGCCTCTGACGACGTTCGACGTATCTACCCATCTTCGTATTCGGCCCCCTGCCAGTCATATCACCGAGATAGGGACTCGTCATGGTCACGCAGACAATGACATTGTCATATTGATAGCACGTTCGTCATCAGAACGAACATATGCCCCTGGGCCACGGCACTCCATCATATAAGTATAGGCGGGCCGCCATCGCGCGCGGGTGTGCGCTCGCAGTGGCCTTATCATTTGCACTCTACCTGCAATTCCCGCCACTTGCACCACCCATACTCAACATCAGTGTTTCTATCGTATTCATGATGTCTGACCTGGTCGGCTTCAATGGTACTGGCGTGTACAACTCGTCCACAACTCCCACAAGCTTACCCTGGAACACCTACAACTACTGTAACGCTCCCCACGTTACGGCTGGTCACTATGAAGCGCTCGAGGGAGCTGAACTCGTATATCTGAATCTCATGATGCGCCACCACAAGGTGAGTTGAAGTTGACGCTCGAATTGATCTCCCGAGTTTGCTGAAGACTGCCCTTTGCACAGCGCACTCCAGACAACCTATACCCAGATGAAGAGAACTTCAACCCGTCTTCGGGCTGGGACTGCTCCGACTTCATGCCCTTTAACTACGGCGGCCCCGGCGGCACGCGCGTTCAGCATCAAGTTACCAACCCGGCAGATCATCCTTTCGCTTCTCTTATGTGGAGGGGGACCTGTGACGAAGGACAGCTGACCCGTGCCGGCTTTGAGGACGCTCGCAAACATGGAGAGGACTTCTGGTCCGTGTATCACACCGAACTACACTTCTTGGATCGGGTGTCTCCTGAGAAGCTCTACGTGCGCACTGGACCCAGCGACCGGACTAATCAAGTCGCATCAGCGCTACTGGCCGGCATGGACTCCTCCCTCGAGCACAGTAGCTTCACCGTCTATACTGAACCTTCGACAGTAAGCTGTAGCACGGATCCTTCTATCAGGATAACGTCCCTGACGCGCATGAACTAGATTGATGGCCTAGTACCGTCGTACAGCTGCCCCGCAGCGGATGATATTCGGAGCGCATACCAGTCCGTCCCGGCATGGACCGACCATCTGGATCAGTTCTCCGATCTGCAAACTCGACTGGGCTCGATGACCGGTACAGAGGGCCTAGCGGCCTGGGAAAGTTGGTGTACGTGTGCATACAAAACGGATGCCATGGTTCCAGCGCTAATCGCGGCGTCCGCCCCTAGATGATCATTACTTTGACACCTTCACCTCGCGGACATGCCATGGTCATCCCCTTCCGTGCAATGCCACGAGCGGCGTATGCGTGTCAGAAGAGGACGCGAATCTCGTACACGCTCTCGGTGACTTCGAGTACAAGTAGGTTGTTATATATAACCCTTCTGCGTGCGTTACTCATACATACCACAGCTATATCTGGAATACTGCACAGAACAGCACGGAATATAACGAGCTTACCTTCGGGGTGATGTACAAAGAACTAGCGAACAACTTCCAATCATTCGCAGCGGGCAAGGAAACGAAGAAAGCGCGCTTGTATGTCGGGCATGACGGATCTATGGTTAGCTCTCCAGGATCAAATCGGCTTAAGTGCTGTCGTTAACCGCCGGTCAACGCCAGATACGACTTGCTGCAGGATTAGGCCTAGGGAATGTATCTCCACTGCGTTGGCCCGCTCTAGGTAGCGAGATAATCATGGAGGTTAGGTCCGCGAATTGCGTGGGCGGACTCGAATCTTACTTTTTGTTCAGGTATGGTACCGGGACGGGGACTTTGTAGTTCGCGTCATGCACGAAGGTGTTCCTGTAGCCGGGATGGACCGTATTCCTCTTTCAGAGTTCATACAAAATCTCGAAGCGCACGTCCCTGATAATCTCATGGAGCGCTGTTTGGGTACGAATAGTACCGTTTGATGATCGGATGCTGTACTACTACATACTCTGGTTGCATCGTATCAGTTCTCGAATGGAAGCTCGCGGTGTAGGCGAATAGAATAGCACCAGTGTTCCAACATGAAATGTGTACTTCCGTACTTGGATACGCGCCCTAGTGAGATGTTACATGTATGACCACCTTTCCGAAATGCTGTGCGCTCTCGAGGTACTGAAGAGCCTCCACGGCCTGTCCAAACGGGAATACGCGATCGATGTGAGGGTGAATTTGGTTGAAGTCAGCGAACCGTAACAGCTCTTCGAACTGCTGCTTCGAGCCCACGACAATACCTCTATTGTCATGACGTCAGAGTAGAGAATACAGGGCGATTACAAGAGCACGGACCGCAAGGAAGCCTGTCTGAACAGGGCGAGCATAGGGATGTTCGGCGTGGCCTTCGGTTGACCTCCCAAAAAGCCGATGCTGCTGATAACGCCACCCGCTGCCACACTGTTGAAACACTTCTCGATCTCGTTTATGCCTACGTTGTCGATGATGTGGTGTGCGCCAACCCCTTTCGTGAGCTTTTGAACTTCCGCATCCCAGTCCGGTGTGCGCTTGTAGTTGATGGTATGCGTCGCTCCCATCTTTGTCGCAAGCTCGAGCTTTTCATCGGAGGAAGACGTGATGATTGTCCGTGCACCAGCGGCCTTGGCAATGAGAAGCCCGAACATCGACACTCCACCGGTACCCTGAAGAAGGACTGTCTGACCAGGAATGAGGGCCTTGCCTCCGTATAGCGCGTTCCATGCTGTCACAGCTGCGATGGGGAACGTGGAAAGCTCGTCGTGCTTATTGCGAGTATCAGCACGGATCCAGTAAAGTACGATGTTAAGCTTACGGTCAAGTAGTCCGGTGCGAGGAGGAGCGCGATCTCATCGAAAACGCGGTACTCTTGCAGAGTTCCGTCGAGAGGGCCACCGAGGATCTCTGAGCCTTACATGGTCAGCGCAGCGCAGCATGGTACAAGAGGCCATGACTCACGGCCGGTACTCGATGGCCCATAGATGTGCTGCTGATCGAAGAGAGACGTGACCTTGTCACCAGAGCGGAACTTGGAGGTGCGCTGACGATCGTAGGATCAGAATATAATTCAGAGTGAACAACAATACAACAAGTGGCGACTCACCTCCCCCGCTGAGACAATCTCGCCAGCCATATCAGCGCAGAGTACAATGCCCGCCTCAATACCGGGCAGGCCGTATGTCCCATTGGCAATAGCGACGTCGCGATAGTTTAGGGAAACAGAATGGATGCGAACGAGGTATTGGCCAGGGCCTGGGCTCGCGACTGGCTCACGATGCCTCTGCAGCGCGGTCGGACCCTTGCCAAGCTCACTCAGACGCCACACAGACTGCTCTTGAGACATGACGGCGAGTGAAGAAGAGGACGATTAGAGATGCCGTGAGCTCCTACGGGTCGGACGTTGCAGCCTTGCACGAACTTGGCGAGGCCTTATATAACCCAACCTCAGACAGTCACACGTCCAACCTTAACAGCCAACCGTCATTCCAAGTAGAAGGACATGTGGGTAGCATGCATCATTCAGCAGGAGATGCCGACAAGAGTACTGTGGTCATGGCGTCATTCCCGACGGTCGTCGGACAAGATGACAGGAAGTAAGTGTCGTGTTGACGTCGTATAGGAGATGGGTTCGCAGACGTGCGCGGGGGGAGAGATCTGCGCCACATATTCATTTGAACTCTTCATACGCACAGCCATGCCGGACAGGCAGGTCCTGGTTGGGCCATGGTCGCAATGAAAGACACTGGCAACGCCGTTGCGTCGTCGCTATTTGACGCGCCGGTGGATGCCGAAGTCGCGGTCACGCGCCGAAAACCCATAACGCGCCTTGCTTCCTCTTGCTTCGCGCCGTCACTGCTCCATCGACAGTACAGCTAGGTTACCAACTGGGACTGAAGCCACCCCCTGAATAAACTATGCCCTCCAAGAAGAACAACAAGAGCAAAAGCAAGAAGAAGGCTGGCATCCCGTCCACGCCACCCCCACCCCAAGCGCTTCTCGATGATATATATCAGGCTCAAGGCTGGGAGGCGGTGGCAGACGTTCTCTGCGCCTGGCTGAAGATACCTGGTATGTGTGCGGGATCAAGGCGCTTGCATATTCTCAACCTGTACGCCAGACTTAAGTAGCCGGCATGGACTGAAGCAGGTACACAAGCACTTCGACGATACCGCCGTGAAGCTTGATCAGTTGTTCGTTCCCTTTTCGCATCAGACGGTGTACTTCTGATGATCGTGGCTATACTCTCTCCAGGTACAAGTTTGCCATCTGGGCTGAGAATGATCGAGTACTCGGAGGAACCATTGCTATCTATACCAAGATGTCTGCGGATTCACTCCTGCGCAATCGTATCTTCAAAGAGGCAGGTAAGTTCAATGTCAAGAGCCATGAATCCCTAATGCTCTAGCACTAACACTCCCATAGACTATCTTAACAAGCTCAAGGCATTGCTCGACCGTCCTGCCTCTCGCGCCGTAGCTCTGGAGTCCCTAGCGCAGGTAACCCATCACGGAGGATTCGAGGTTCGCGCGGGAATTGCACACGAGATCCCGTCACTTTTGGATACACTGGACGCCGATCCGGACAATCTACGTGCAGCATCCCACGTCTGGACCGTGATATCACATTCCGCGGCGTCCATCCTCCAGAATCAGGAGCCCCCATCGCCTCAAGATCTCCAACGGTTACAAGTGCCTCGCCTCCTAAAGTCGGCCCTTTTCTACATACGAAAGACCAATACATCGCATCACCTTCGTGACCATATACTCGAGTTCTTAACTGGAGCCTCTCAGCATTGCTACAAGGATTTCTGGGAGAACGAGCACGCCATCGACTTCTTGATGTCCTGTACGCGCAATAAGGACATTCGCATTCGCGCTGACGGTGTGGGAGGGGTGATGCGCGCCTGTATCACGCTCGGCGAAGTGGAACAAACTCGATATGATCCCAACAAGATGATGCAGGCTCTAAGACGACCATGGCCGCCTCGCGTATCAGATCTATTGGTTCATTTCGGCGCCGAGAAGAGTGATACCTATCTCTCAATACAAGGGACGAAGCACTTCATGGAAGCTATGAAGGCTGTGGCCGGAGATCGCGATTTCATCAAGTGCGGACGTAAGCTTTTACTTTTGCCAGTGTCCACTCTATGCAGATCCTGACAAGATCAAGGTCGGGTTGCCGAACTCATCTTACGGACGGAGCATTCGATCACACAAGGAGGCTGGCAGGTCGAGAATCCTCGCACAGGGAAATTTGAGATGAATAACATGGGTTTACCATTCACTATGTGGCACGAATCTCTACCGGCGTGCGCGCGGGAACTACGCAAAACTGGAAGGGCGAAAGACTTGGATGATGCCGATATCTTGGAACTCAAGGTCCGTGAGATTGTGGTCTTTGTGGCGCTTTACACTAACTATCGAACTTGTAGTATCTCATCATCGAACGACGCACGGATGAAGCGCGGGAGATCGCTGTTCGAGCCGTTGAACGGAGCCCTACTATCGGTTTCTTCTACTACGTTCTTGCTATGGTCAATGTTGGTAAACCAGAGGGCCTGCGCGATGCCAAGAAGGGTCTGAAATGTCCGAATATGACGGGATACGTGAAGAATGGCTTGGTGCGTGCGATTCAGTCGTCGAGTCCGAAGTTCTTCCGAACCGTTTGATAGCTATACCGTGCGGCGGAGCACGCTTGCGACAGTGCTGTACGCAAGCTTCAGGACGCCATACATGATGAGCAGCAACTGCACGAGGGGTATGCTTTTGCTGTCAGCGCCTGGGAGGATTCGAAGACGTATATACAGCAGGCGCCTCCTGATGGGAGGAGTATGCTTTCTGTATGCTACTTGCATACTCTACTAACGATACTCCTGTACGGTCACGAACAGACACCTGACTTGCCGCGTTTGAAGGTATGTTAGTAATGGGTCTTGCACTTTCGAGGAGACGCTGACCTTGATCGCAGCGGACGAAGGATATCATGGAGATCGCAGAACTCGCCATGCGCCATCTTGGCCGCCCCGTGTCCAAGACCGAGACGCGATTGGCTGCCCTCGCCTTCTATGAACGGCTTCCGAAGGCGTCTCAGGAGTGGGACGAGGTCACAGCACGTCTCGCTGACCGAGTTCCTCCAGGTGGCGAGCTTGACGAGGACAAGGTTGAGGATAGCCTCGCGCAGTGGCTCGAACGAATGGACGTAACTGACGTCGATAACCGTGGACATGCCATACACGAGCATCGCGGAATCCATGCCACTATCAATCTCAAAGAGGTTGATCTCTATCGCTGCTCGTGGTGTGGAAACCCGAGCGCCATTCTTCGCAAGTGTAGGGGCTGTGGAAAGACTCGCTGTACGTCCATCGCAAGTCAAGGTACTGCGTATAGGTATCTTACTACTGGGCAGATTGTGATGGCGCATGCCAGAAGCAGCACTGGGGTGCATCACACCGTAAGGTTTGTGCGCGTTTACACGAGCATGAGAAAGCCAAGGACTCCTTTGCAGCTGGCGAGTAGACAACAGTCTGCGACACATTCATACTAAATCTACGGACTTGAGATTCTGTATCAGTCTTGTATTTACCCCATCATGTATCTGTCGTATGTTGGTCTTGCTTGAGGGTCCCGGAGAGCACAAGGTGTGCCTAAGTCCTATGCACCTCGTCAAGAGCGCACCATGTAACCAGACTGTAAACTTCGAAGCGAGAACAACTGTCGGGCAACACCCATTGCATGATCCCCTTGATCCATCTCTGTAAACGAATACGGAGAATGATCCTCTGGAGGCTGTTACTGACGATGAGCATGCGGGGTGACGGGTCTCGCTTGGCTTGTGGGAATTTGGAGCTCACATGACCGCGTCCGATCCGCGTCGCGTCGCGTACGCGCATCGCGACGGGCGGAGCTCTCAACTCTCCCACCACCAGACACACGCACTTCTCTTCTAGACTCTAGTACTGCGCTCCCAGTCGCACATCCATGGGACGCACGAAGACTCAGGGACGGAAGGTCGTCGCCCTCTCGAGCACGTCGTCGGTGCCGGCAAAGGCGACTGCCGAGCGCGAGACGAGCCCGGACAGACCACCGAGGGCCATCCCACAAATCAACAAGTGCTTCTCCTCAGCCAAACGTGTCAAGTCTTCCTTGTCCAAGCCTGCCAAGTCTGCCAAAACCGAACGAGTCAAGAAGGCGACCATCAAGCGCGCGCCAATCAGAGCACCGGGCATGAGATCGCGTTTCTTTCCGCGGCCCAAGCCTCCTCCCCTACCTGAGGAGGATATGGACTTGCGCCACATGCAAGACGCGACGGAACTGGCGCGCAAACATGTCGGCCATAAGCCTATTGTTTACAACGAGATTGCAGATCTCGTCCGTACCGAAGAAGGTTTCGCTGTCTTTCTCAACGACATGCTCGAGGCGTACGAATCACTCCGGGACCCGACGGTACGACCAGTACTTATACAAGGTGCATGAGCGCGTCAGACTCTCAAGTCACTCTCTAACCGTGTCATAGAATGTTTCAAGAAGAATCCGTTCCTTATGGTCGTCGCCGTCATCTTCCTCAATAAGACGAGTGCGACGGTAGCAATTCCAGCATTCTGCCAAGTTATTGAACGTTGGAAGACACCGAAAGACTTTGCTCAAGGTGCGTTCTACTGCGCCATCCGCACTTTTGTCGCTGACTTGTTCACAGCGGATCGTAAGAAGTTATTCAAGCTCATTGAACACCTAGGCCTTGGCAACACGCGCTCCGACGGGCTCATCAAGCTTGGCAAGCTATGGTTAGAGTACCCGCCTGTGACCACTCAGAGCCTTCAAGAAGACCCCACACGTGCTCGTGCCCAGCGAACCATCAATGCTAAGATGGCACGCAAGAAGAACCCGAAATTGTTCAGACATCTCAGCGATGAGGATATGCCGGCTATCGCGCATCTGCCATTGGTTGGCCAGTACGCCGTGGATTCGTACAAGATGTTCTGCTGCGGCGAAGAAGATTGGAAGTCTGTGCGCCCGAATGACAAGGAGCTGGCGCGCTACGTCGTGAGTCGGTATATCTGAATGATGCGCTTTGTGCTTAGCGCTTTTCCAGATGTGGCGTTGGGCCTTGCTTGGCAAAGCCTACGACATGGTGGATCGCCACCCGTGGGATCATATAACACCGAATTTTATCAATGCTGTTATACGCGAACTCGTCGACTTCAGTCCTTATAAGGCTCTTGATAAATTGGTTGAAGAAGAACGCGCGCTAGAACGGGGCTCGGCTCGAATCGTCCTAACTCCTTCTCTGAATCTCCCCACACCTGATATCTCGTACTGAGCTTGACTTTCTTGTTGTCGCATGCTCTCCATGCTTTTTGTCGCGCCTTCTCGTCCCCCCCGCTTACATATATGCTGTCTTAGCCTGTCGCGCATCTTCACCTCATACAATTTCTCAATTAATACTGCTCCTTGATTTAAGTGCCATATTGATGGGAACCATTCTGGGTTGCGCGTCACATAGACGAGCCGTTCCGGACAACTTCCTCCACTTTTTCCCCTGGCTATAGCAGCAACTTCAGATAAGTTACCAGAATGCGCGGTGCACCCCGGCGCGTCTCCAGCCTTGGAAACTCAGCAGGCGTTCGTCACAAGTCTGCGCCTCAAGTGAACACCGAAGCGGATAGGTACACTTTGCTAGGCGGGGGATCATACTGGTAAACTACACACACCGGCTATCTCGGTGGTGGGTGGGGTATGGACCTTGTATTCTTGAAGCTGGAAGCTTGAAGGAGTAATGACATGCCCGGTGCAGCGTTCCCGCATGACAGGTACAACCGACAGGGCTTGGCGTGGTATCGTGTGCCGGGAGAGCCGGGTAAACGAGGACGAGAGTAGGACAGGTTATCTCTAGAGAGACGCGCAAGTCTTGGACCATTACGCCGTGGGCGAGCTACACAGCGCGGCATGATGGACAGGGCCTCGAACCCTCCCATCGCGGGCGTAGCCCTAAATAGACATACCCCGAAGCTGCTGTATGCACGAACATTATACACTACTTTATTTCATCCCGAAGCACAAAGAAGAAGTGTGATCCCCATGCGCATACATGTAGCTCTTCTAGCGGTGTAGGAATGGAACCGCCTCAAGCGATGGCGGTGGTAAAGATGAACCGACGTTACCGCGCCTCCGCGTCGCGCATCGCTCATAGACCAACCACGCATCTTGATCACAACTCCCATCTTGCCGCACCAAGTTCTGGCGTTCCACGTATATGCGCGTTCAAGATGATAGGAAGATTGCGAGTGCGTACCATCATACCAATGCTGTCAGGTTCAACGTGCTTACGCGTGGTATTCATCAGAGCCAAAATCGGACCAACACTCACGAGGTCAGCAAGTCGCAACTCAGTCGTGTACGATTCTGACGGAACATACGCGATGACAGAGAAAAAGCGAGCGAGGACGGAGACTTCGGAAGGTCGCTCGTCGGGATTGAACGCCGATGAGGAGGAGTACGACGAGCGTGCGGCGGCGCTGTGGGCCGTATACGTCCAGGAGGCAGAGGTGCGCGCGTCGGCTGAGATTTGCATATGGCTTGGTCTCTTACTCCATACTAGTTACACGATAAGGCTCTGATAGACGGTTGGAAGGACGACATGGCCGTGGTGATAACCTTTGTGCGTATGGTCTCACTCGCCTGTGGCTTTGCACTAACATCTGCCAAAGGCTGGTCTCTTCTCGGCCACAGTCACCACCTTTCTCGTAGCGAGCTATCCCAACCTCCAACCCGATCCGCCCACCCAAACAGAAACTCTCGCTGAACAGAACGTGTTTCTTCTATCCTTGATCGTCAGCCATCTTGGCGCTAATAGCTCTACGCTACCTTCTGCTCCACCTACACATCTTGACAGTTTCTCACCTGCCGCATCCGATATACGCGTGAACGTCTGCTGGTCTGTCAGTCTGGTTCTCAGTCTTACCGCGGCACTCTTCGCTACGATCGTGCAGCAATGGGTCCGTGACTATATGCACATTTATCAACGCTATTCCAGCCATCTGAAGCGCGCACGCATTCGGCAATACTTGTTCGAAGGGGCAGACAAGCACAAAATGTCATTCATGGTCGATGTCATACCCACTCTAATCCACGGGTCTCTGTTTCTTTTCTTCTGGGGTCTATGCGACATGTTCTGGCAGATCAACTATACGGTGGCTATCATGATAACACTCTCAATTGCGCTTGCCGTAGTTGTGTACGCGTACACTGTGGTCGCCCCCGTCGTCAATGCGCAGTCGCCCTATCAATCACCCTTGTCTGGTATCTTCTGGTACTTCTTCCGAGTCGTCAGAAGACGCACATATAGCGACAAAACAACCGGCGGTTATGAGCGACCGATCAGCAGCAACATGTCGGATGGTCGAGTGCAGCTTGCAATGAATAATTGCAAGAGCCGCTGTGAGCGGGATGCGCGGGCTATCTGCTGGGTTGTAGACAATCTTACGGAGGACAACGAACTCGAGCCTTTTCTTTCCGGTATCCCTGGATCGTTGAGCACCAGATGGGGCAAAGAAGTCTGGGCGGAGGTGGCCGCCCAAACTACCGACCGCCGGAGAAAGGCTGAGACGTCCGCGGTGCCCGACGATGATCGACACGACTCGTCCCCATTCTCGTTGTCATCAACAGATACTGTCATCGACCTCAGCGGTCGTATCACACGTCTACTGCGTACATGCATTGACCCGGGCATTCTTGACCCACACTCGCGTAGGCGACGTGCTCGCGCTTGCGTTGATGCGGCTTTGTCTCTGGTTCTCAATATGAAGAAGGGAAAGTGGCAGTGGTTCGCCGACAAGGAGGTCATGGCCATGACACTTCATTACCTCGCAGACAAGGCCAATCACCCGTCCGACTTGGGTCCGGACGCACTTCCCTTGGCGGACCCTGCCTTTCGACACCGTTGGTTATGCATGTCAATCATGACTGTCCATGCTCTACTTGAGGATGTCCGCGTACACGAAGCCGCCAATCGTGTCGTACAAAGTCTTGCCAATGCCTGTGGTGAATCGGAGCAACTCTCCGCAGAAAGCGCTGCGATGAAGTCTTCCGCAATGCTTGACAAGCTTGTGAAGAAGGCGTGGCACGCCGGCCGCGTTCTACGCGATACGCTCGATACGGTTGATGCGCCTGGGGAGCGCCTAGCGGAGGTTCTAGAAGAGCACAACGAGAATGTCGCCGAACTTGAATACTGCTGGAATATCCTCGGATGGGCCAAGCCCGTGGACGACGCCGTCCGCTCAGTGGTACAGGTCGTGTCGGAGGTCACAGAGCGCATTCTGACGCTCTTGCCTGGTGCCAGCATCGCAACATCGCTCCCTGTTACCTCTCCAGACGTCGGGTATGGCGTACAAAACGCCATGATGCCCCACTTCTTGATGCCCGTGACAATGACGCGTCGGTTGACTGAGACCGCCTGGTGTCTTCGCGACATACAAACTGCTACCTGGGAGGCGTATTCTCCCAAACCAGACAAACTCGTGAATCTCAGCCCGGAGGAGCTTTACGGGGACGACATGCGCCGACGCATGAGTGCAGTAGCAGCGGGCCGCGAAGGGACTGTGCGCCCATTCCGGGAACAGCTTTGGCGGCTACAAGACTTGGCCGTGAAGCACGGCGGGACTCTATATGTCCTGGATCTGCTCTTCAACGCCCTACGATCGACTCCTACGAAGCAGACTCCCGATAGCGAGGAACTTTACGTTGGGACTTTCAGAGCGGTGACTACAAATTGGAGGAAACGTTGTGATTCAGAAGCATTCCAAGCCGGCCTCGTTGCTCAACTGCGCGATGTTCTCTGGAGAGACGCAATCGGCACCGCACCACCAGTTCCTCGTCTCCCATCCTATATCATCGACGAGATGTTACGATTGGTATCGGACGTATTCATGTCAACTAAGACACCCAATACGGCACTCATCGACGAGGCTGTCAGTGCTGTACAGGAGTTTGCTTCTCTCTCAGCAATCCCCATCACAACCAAAAGCTCGATACATGACTTTCTTAGTAGAGTTAGGCCACCTAGGACAGTGACAGGGTCTGTAGTGCACGTGAAGATACCATAGTTTATACCATATGTATCATGCAACTTCTCTCTATTTCCAGCCTGCTTTCAATGGGGGATCGACGAGGGTGCCAATAGTAGAACGTGAGGAAGTCAAGAGCGCGCTCGCTGCCGTGCCTCGCACGAAGTAGCTGCTTCCAGAAGTATGACTTTAATCAATTGCTAGCGTAGAGGAAGAATGGCCGGTACAGAACGTTGATGGCATGGTAGATGCTGTGGATTGAGATCAATCGGCAATTGCCGGGCTCTCGTCGAAGCCCGGCCGCCCCGGCCGCCGCGCCCGGAGCCTGTTCCCTCGGCCACCACTAGGCCTGCTCTGGGTTCGACCCAGGCAGCAACTCACTTTACAACGTACTCTCATCTTCGTGGCGCTGCCGGCTGCTCTCTGCTCAGTGCTTGAGGATCTGACAGCTGTACTTACTGGGTGCCTCGCAATTTTCGTCCATTTGCACCCGAGGACGAACATATCTTGACTTAAGTACTACGACATTGTCTCGTTCTGTACTTCCACCTGTCTTCGATCTTCGGCTAGACGCTTTGTAGAGGCCTGGTCGCGTCTAGCGCTCTGTCTACTCTGCTCATACCACCATCACTACTAAAGTCTTGTCACCCATGGCCGTTTTCAATCCTAAGATTGTGGACGCCAGTGTTCGCGATGTTGTATCTGCACTTTCCAACGAGGTGAAAGTGGATGTCCTTCTGTACGCAATGGAACGCATAGCCGCCAATCCGAAGTGAGTTGCCCGGCCGCCTGTTGCGATCAAAGCGGCGCCGTGACGATTTCTCCCAGCTCTAGAACGACCATCGAGAATGCGGCCCAGTCCGTTCTTCAACTGGCTGCCGCACGCCCAGACAAACAGATACAGGCGAGGCTGATTCGGGCGAAGGCAAGATTGGCCGCCGGAATGCGGGGTGCTGCTCATCAAGGTGGGCGAACTTGCTTTGCGTACTCCTTGTTCTGCACGCTCACGAAGTCATGATTGCCATCGCTGTTGCTCGTACTTTGGTCTCTCCAGACTTGCAGATGATTCTCCAGCTCGATCCCGAACACAGCGAAGCGTCTGAGCTTCTCCCGTCAGGAAACAGCGGCGACAACAAGGTTCGTTTGATCGCCGTTCACTGCGATCGGTAGATCTGACCTTTTCCGTTGAGCAGAAGCGTTCAGTCCGGGGAAATTCTCGTTTGTCCAACGAAGTATGGAGAGAAGTCGCCCTGTACCTCTCGAAGAACGATCTGCGTAGCCTGTTGCTGGTACCGCATGCTCTTTCCGCCATCGCCAGCCAGCTTCTGCTGCAGACGGTCAACCTACACTTCGGAACCGAACCTCATCGGCGGCACTTTACGGATATATTGTCGCAGGAGCTCGACGAATGGCACGCGCGGCGCAGCGCAGAGATCTTGACCCATCTTGTCTCGGACCCGAAACACGCATGTCACGTCCGCTCTCTCAATGTGTTCTCATCAAGCACAGAAGGCGCTTTGGCCTTTCAATTAGGTGAGCCATCTCGCTTATCTTATGACACGTTCTTGATCCTGACGCTCCATAGCTATGATAGAGAATGCCATACCGAAACTTGTCAATTTGACCTCATTCGGCTGTCGTATGGATGGCAAAGCCATGCATACTCTGCTTCACGCCTTGGAAAAGAGTCAGACGAAGCTCAAAAGCCTGGTACTCGAGTAAGCCCACCACTCATCCGCTCTAGTCGACTCATGTTCACTCCATCTCGTGATAGCCCTATCAGCCCACTACCAGCCGAGCTGCCCAATTTCCCGCTTCTCACTCGTTTCGCATACGGAGGTGAAGGCATCGACGGCGCTCCACCCAACCTTGATCACATTTTCTGCGGCCGGAGCGTCGCTTTGCGTAAGCTGGTGATTCAGAATTCGCGCTTCATGCTCGATGCGCGCGTTCCCTTTGGCAGCCTCACGTCTCTGGACCTACGCTGCAGCATCCGCGACGGAGAACTTTTGTCGATGATCTTCCTCGAGGGTCGCCATATACAGCGCCTTAGCTTGACGTGCACGGTGTCGCGCAACGACAGCCCGACTTTGACCCAAGCCTTCCGCGCCCACGCCTCCGCTCTCCCATCACTCCGCGCATTCTCATTCCAAATCGAGGGCAGCCCGCATAGCACGGAGGATCCGTCGCTGGTGCCGTCTATGACGGAGTTCATCCGGGCACACCCGTACTTGGAGGCTCTGCGCATCATGAATGCGCTTGCGGGACAGATCAGCGGCTCCATCGTCTGGAGTGTACTTCCAATGCTACAGAAGCTGACTGTACTATCTATGGAACTTCCGAAGGATCCTGCCTTGGCTATTTGGCTTATACCGAAGTCGGTCATTGCCCTGCACTTGAGTTTTCCCCACGCTCATATGGACGACGCTACCTTGGTCTCGGTATGTCTGCACCTATGACTGCATTGCCATTACTGACTTGCTCTCAGCAATTGCTCCCCGGCCTACCCCGAGATCTCAAGATCCTGTCGCTTCCGTTCATGAACGTCTCCGGTCCTTTGCGCGATGTACTGGACGGGAGCCTCCCCCATCTCAAGATGCTGGCCATCGGAGCCGTCAATCACTCTGTCGTACGCACACATCGCGGGCTAGAACTCGAAAGATGGGGAGAGCGACGGTGCAAGTACTTCCTTGCGGACAGTCTGGGAGGGTTAGGCGGAGAATATGAGTTTGCTCCTTGGGTTGCGCCGCTTCCGTGGCACTGGTAGCAATATGTAGACTTTTCACTGGCTCACTGTACTTCTATACTGGGACTATGTATACTCTTCATTGTTGTTCTATGTTTACGCTGTAGATGAGGCACAAATCGAGCATTCCGCATGCGTTGGCCGCGGTTGACTGTTGGTGTGCTCATGTCCGATCACGGAAATTGCCGCGCCTCCGACGAATCCCGAACTTCTTACTCGCCAACACGCTCATCTCGACCACCACCTATGGCGCTCTCTGACTTCTTTTCCTCGCTTCTCCCTACGACGTACGCCGAGGAGGCACCTGAGAAGGCTCAAGAGGAGCCCAAGGACGAGCAGGCAGAGGAGCCTCAGGAGGAGGCTGCCGAGGAAGAGGAGGAGGAGCCCGAGGACGTACGTCGCGTCTATCCCATCCCAGAAGTACCATAGCTGACACGACACGTGCGGATATAGCCTACTCCCGCTCTCCGCGAGGAGTGCCAGGACTCCGCCGAGTGCAAGAGCCACACGCACCACTTCCTCGCCTGCCAGGAGAAGGTCACCTCTGGCCAGGGCTTCAAGGGCGAGGACTGTGTTGAGGAGCTGTACGTGTCCGTGCTGTGTATTTCTACGGCATTGCTGACCTAATTTTACAGGTGTACGTCTGTGTCATTGCTCTCCGATAATCATGTACTGACGGGTACGCGTGACCCTTGCCTCCCTTGTCCTGTACCGATGTTCAGTCCAGTACGTTCGCTTCTTTACAATTACCTCTAGACTTGCTGACGCTTCCGTAGCATGATGCACTGCGCAGACGTACGTTTCTCGCCACGAATGCTATACGCTCGTCACTAACAAATCCACAGAACTGCTTGGCACCAAAACTCTTCTCCAAGCTTCGCTGAGCCGTCCCTGCACGGCTTCTGGCAGTGTGAGTTCACCATATCGAAACCACGGCCTTTCGCTGACTCTGCCACCCTCACGTAGCTCGGAGTGCGGACGGATAATATGCGTATATCGCGGCGCCGTTGTTCTGCAGTCACCACATTCGCCTATCCTAAACCTGTCACCGTTCAATTTATATTGCCCGTTCCAGATAGATATATTTCGTCCAATCAAGTTTTGATACGACATCCGGGTGATATACATCAAGCGGCCGCTGGGAGCTCATGTCTGAGGACATGATTGAATGTATACGTCAAGTGACCCTCGAGGTCAATGTCCAATACAGTACAGCCGTAGACGCCAAGGCTTGTAACAGGGTCATCAACTTGAACGAGAAGCCCACGGACTGGGTCATCGAAGCGGAGTTCACAGTTTCCCAAACACGCTAACTGCGTACTATCACGCTCAACGTTCAGGCTCCGGAGCAGCTGACCTTTCATGTTAGCACATGTCCTCGATGCCGCTCACCTACGTCGCCACTCCTGTCTGACCCACACCACCACGATTCTGCGACATCGGTCGTGCAGACCTTCCTCCGACCCGCAGACGTTGCGTAGACGTCGCGCCGATCGTGGCCCGCAAGTGACGCACCGCCCCCTCAGCGACGACGGCGGACATCCCTGTCGCGCCTTATAGCTCAAGTCAGTATACCGGTACTTCCTATCGACTCAGCCCACCCTCATCCACCACTGTAGTGCTCTTGTCCAAAGCCATCTCCATTTACATGTCGCGCACCACCCAGAACAACCGCGCGCAGTCGGACGCCTTTGCGCGCTTCAACGACTGGGACACCGATCTCAGCTCGCCCGGTTCCCGCACACCCACCGACGCCGGTCCCAAGGTAACTGGCACCGTGAAACCGAATGGAGCTACGTATCGCTCGTCCAACATCGCGGACCCGGTTGATACTTCCCGGGCTCAGCGCCAGGCTCCATCCGGAGGTGTGATAGCCAGTGGCGGAGGTGATGAACTGCGCACCTCGGGCTCCGACCGCAGAGGCGGTGCGAATTCGGGCGTTGAAGACAGAGGTTCTTCGCATGCAGAAAGTAGCTGGGGCGTAGGGCGGTCGCATGCGACCGGCGCGTCAATGGTGCCAGAAGGTCTTCAGAAGGTGTGCAAACCAGTCGAGACTTCTCTAGATTCACGCTAACCCATTGCCCAATGCAGATGCTTCCCGAGTCCGTCGAGCGTGCGGTGCCAGACTCCATCCATGATACTAGTGCCAAGGCGTCCAGGAAGTAAACACAACGGTCTCATCAATCTCAGTCATCAAACTTATCAGCATGCATATGTACGGACTGCAGTTGGAACATCAATGTAAAATATGGCACAATTAACATATTTTCTCACCATTGGCATCTTCTTTTGTCTCTCCGCCGTGAAAGTCGTCCTTGACCAAAATCGCCTAGCTGGCCAATATCATCAACAGTGCTTTCTGCGGATGAGATAAACAACGGCTGAAAAAGCGCGGCGAGCGGCCCGTATGCCGATCACTCGCGTGTTGCGATAGCTTGAAGGAACGGACTTTCTCATCACCTCCACCACGGTCTTTGCTATGCTGGCACGTCCCAGGCACGCTCTCTCGTAGTGACCACCGCTGTATGATCTCACGTTGGCCACACTCCCTGCGCCATGATCTTTGCTATGAAGAGTCGAGTGATTGATCCTGCGACGTCAGTCCAGACTAGACACCGACCGCGCCGGTAAGATCAGGATGAATTGAGGACTCGTGAATCAGGTCCATAGTGCTTGAGGATGTGTATCTAACTCGCAGGGTCTTGAAATTTCGCATGTTCAGCAGCATGCAGTAGAGTCGTGAGACGGTGGGAGCGACGCAATCGACGGCGGCGGCCTTCAGTTAATCATATACTACCAGGTAAGGCCCGCGTAAGCTATGCTTCTTATCAATACGACGTTCACGTCGCGCTGGAACTACTTCGAGTGTGGGACTCCGTCGCCGAGACACTGAACAGTGCGCCCTGAGTTGAGGAGTTGACGCGAAATATCATTGTATCTGCCAATGGTCGTCAGCGCGTGAGCGCGCCGTTGTCCGACACTCACACAGACAATCCTGCACCTGGGAGCGTTTGCCGCGTCCAATGGATCTCAGTGAAGCACAGGATGTCTCTCACCCGTCTGCTCTATAAGCGCATGCAGTCATCATGCAGCTCTTTATAGACATCCCACCACTTCGCCTGGTACCATATGAACGGCACGAACGGCTACCAAGGCGAGTACCCACACCTCACCATCTACCCTTATTCCCCGTCTATGTCATCTACGGAGACTGTCCATTCGGGTACTACGCCGTCCGCCGCTCGTAAAGGGGTTTGCTGAGCAACAGCGATAGGGAACAACAACGCGTCTGGCTCGATGTGGCCAAACCAGCTAGCTAGCGCTCTGAGCTCCGCAGGAGAGCAACTGATCGCGGCTTCGCGCGATATTGCTCAGGCCTCGTCTTCGCCATACAGTGCTCCTTCTGGCAACGGGCCATCGAACGCGGACTTCAACTCCATACTAGCTAGGCTTTCTGCGATCGAAGAGGGTCAAGCGCTATTGCGGAAAGATGTACAGGACTTGAAGAGCGCCAGCTCTGCCGCAGGCCCAAGCAGCGCTGCTGGTCTGTCGTCTTCCAGCACTGGGGACCTCGAGAAGCGCATCGAGGAGCTTCAAGAAGCTTTGAGGATGAAGTATGGCTTGAACTTGCCCCTATAGAGCCGCATTGCTGAGCACAATGATAGCCAGGAGCAGTTGTACGCGCGCCTTCATAACGCCCGGGCTACCACCAACAAGTCTTCCGTCATGGCGCCGGCTACGGGCTCAAAGCCGCCCGCCGGGTTCCCTGCAACTCGAGGAGAGTTCGAACATCTCACGCGTGAGTGCATGTCCTCTCCGATTGCTCACTGCAACATCCACTTTGCTTGCGAGATTGCGCACGGTATCGTATTCGAGCTCCCACGGCCACGCGGCTGCCGGGAGTGGTGTCACTGTGCGACACATACCGGGCGCTTTTGCTCTCTCGCCAGCTGAGACGCGTACATGGCAGGATGGTTCTGATCATTCTTCGCAGGCGAGCGATACGAGGCTATCCTCAAAGCGTACAACGTGCCACTTCGCGGTGATACTGCCGCTAAGAAGGAGGCCGCGCGCATCGTCTTGGGCATTCCGTCGGGAGAGCCAACCTCGAAGTGATGACTATGGGCCTTATCATGCAGGATACGTCACTAGCGGCTCGCATAGAGTTCGGTATATTCAAGATCATCATGCATCATGACTGGTAATAGGGTATGTGACTTATGTGGGTAGCGACGTATCCTCATCCCCTTTGCGTAATTTGCCGCTCGTGAGCCGTTGGCCACCCTACGTCCAGTATATGAGACGAGAAGGTGCTTTCTGGTGTTCCGGCTACCGTTGCGGCCTGCGCGGCGATGTGCGCGTCAAGGAGTGGTGCGAGATGAGAGATCAACGGGGCGCCGTCAAATGATGAATGCAACTGGTCGGGCCTGATGAGAACGTGCGGGTCGGAATCAACAAGGGTGTGAGAGGCAACCGGGTCGAATTCATGTAATGAACTCAAGGCGGTGGTAGGAAGTGGCACAGGAGAGTCGAATGGAAGGAGTTCGGCTAGCGTGAATGTGCACGGAAAGGTTCGCATGAATTTCGAGAGGCGAGGATCGTCTGGTCGTGCGTCCGACGCCAGGAACAGAGGAACGTTGAGAGGTGCAAGCCATGCCTCCTCATGAAGTCGTCTGGTACAGGGAAGATTCAGATGAGGTGCCCTGGCCGGCACCGGTTCGGGGACGCGCGGCGGAATGGCTCTCGCGGGGTTGTAGCTCTTGAGGTAGTACTCGTCCGACGCAGTCGTGGCGTTGAAGAAAAGTAGTTCAAGCTCCTTCGCCAGGTCGTGACCGCCAAGGAGCCGGGAAACCAAGAGAAACCAGGCTGCTTGCGCTCCACCTCTGCTTTCAAACTGCCTGTCGTTGACGCGAACATGCGCAGACACGTACTTGTCGCGGCCTCCGAGCTTATCTACCACGATGTTGGACAAGCTCTCGATGATTGAATTGGTGATCCGGACGTGCGCACGAACGTGCGAACGGATAGCGATATTCCTGGTCTCCCTGAAGCGCAACCTTGCTGAGCCAAAGAGAGATCCGAGGCGTAGATGACGCGCAGACACGTTGCGTAGTGTTTCTAGATCCAACGGAGACGAGTATCGTCCAAGAGACGTAGAGTGTTCGGTAGGGATGTCGACGATGCGATGCGAATAGACCGATGAGTCGAAGAAGTCCGCGGTATCATTCGAGAGTAGAGGCTCTGCTCCGTCATACCAAGGATATGAAGGTGTAGCCGGTGCCCACACATTAAAGGACGGCCCAAACGAGGTAAAGTCGACGAGCCAGTGCCAGGGTACGTGCGTCGCGTCGCCTAGAGGCTCACACCACAGAGCGTTGTTCGGATTGATCGAGCACTGTTCGGGGGAAGATGTGTTGGACGTCGGCACCGCACTCAGCAGAGTTTTCCAAAGAGTGTTAGAAGGTGCGTAATGGATTGCCGGTTTGAGGCCGAGGCGCGCCGGGGGAAGTAGAAGTGTGCGATTGAGGATGGAGGCGAGCGTGAGCGCGTTCTCAAGCGCGATGCGCTGATTGTGGAAGCCCGAGTGCGGCATGTACGACATATATCGTCCTCCCGCCGAGATCGCAGAGGAAGAAGGAGGGCTGAGGGGGGCCAAATCCATTATGGAAGCGTCCGTTTCGAGAGTGATATCCCCTGCTGCGACAGTGATGGGTGTAGGAGGATATCGGCCATGAAGATGATAGGCAGATAGAAGACAGGTAAGCCCCGTAAAGGTAAGACATAGCGCAAGAGTAGAGTGCTGTACGTGAGAATGATAAAGTGAGCGCATCGTGGTCTCTCGAGAACGATGACCTTCAGGAAATACGGCGACCATCTGGCCACGTGCAGACGTGTTCGTCTTGTTCGCACTCATAACTTCATTTGCGGTACTCATTACCGATGCAGAGTTATGGATTTAATGCGCTCGGCCGTTGCTCCGTGAGCAGGGTCAATACTGCATGGTACCCGAAGGCACGTTTCGAGGACTGCCGGTAGAGTCCACGATCATGGTCGGGAGGAAGTCAAGGACGCGCGCGACGCGACGCGTCTACGAGCCTCAAGCCACATGACGATGACGCTGCAACGCGCGAGTCGAACACGCTGCAAGCGCGTCGAAAGCCGCGATGGGCGCGTCGCGCAAAGGTTGAACTGCGTTCACCACCATGGCGGACATCCCTCAGCTCCTCCTCGCGTCGCTCAACCCCCAGACTCGGAAACAGGCCGAGCAGACACTCACATCGTACTCGGATCAGCCGGGGTTCCTCACATCTCTGCTCCAGCTTGTGCTCGAAGGATCTCAGGATAATGCCACCCGTCTCGCTGCGGCTGTCTACCTCAAAAACCAAGCAAAAACAAGATGGCTTCCAGAAGTGCGTACAGCGAATACTATCAGTGACCCTTATATGATTAAGGTATATCCAGGATCCAAGGCCAATCTCAGACGCGGACAAGGCGGCACTGCGCCCCCGTCTTGTACCCGCGATGATTGCGCTCTCGGCGCCCAAGGACAAGGCCGTTCGCGCGCAGATAGCAGAGTCCGTATCTCTCATAGCGGAGATCGATTTCCCAGACCAGTGGCCCGACCTGATCGACGTGTGTACATCTTCTTTTCTCAGCATCTTCGGACTTTCTGGTGCCACATATGCATGTCATGGTTGGCATTTCGCCGACCATTTCTCGCTCTCGAGCTCTATCATCCTCGCGTCTTTCTTTTTGAGCTCTTGTGATGTAGTAACTGACACCAAACGCAGCAACTTGTGTCTTCGTTATCGCCCACGGACTTTAACATCAATACCGGTGTGCTCGAAACAGCACACTCTATCTTCCGTCCCTGGCGGTCCGCGAGCCGTTCAGACTCGCTCTGGTCGACGATCAACCTCGTTCTCTCCAAGATTTTGCCCCCATTCCATCAGCTCTTCGCATATACGGCCAACAAGCTGCTCAATGAGCCACCGACCGACAAAACTCAGCTAGAGCAAATGGCGACTACAACCTGGATGCTCGTCGAACTTTTCTACGATCTGACATGTCAAGATCTTCCACCCTCGCTCGAGGACGGGCACGAAGAGTTCTTCGGCTCTCCGAATGGTCATTTCATGCGCCTGATGGCGTGGGACCCTGAAGCTCTGCGTACAGATGTGCGCGTTTTAGCTACCTCCGAGTCACTTCATGCTTACATGCCAATCAGCCAGACGAGGCCACCCCCAGCACACCCACGCGTGTACGCACAACCGTACTCGAAGTCGCGGAGATGTACGTGAAGCTGTACCCGGAGGTCTTGTCCCGCTCCGCTTCGGTGGAAGCCTTCGTTCGCGCTGTTTGGCAACTCGTCGGTGGTGGTACCCAGTTACCTCTCGCATATGACCCGGTGAGTTGTCTATCGATGTCCTGAACTCTATATTTCCGCTGAGCACTTCTTTCATAAGCTCGTCACCCAAGCGCTGAGGTTCATCTCGACCGCAATTCGGGCTGGTCCGTACCGCGACCTGTTCTCTGCACGCGAGACTATCGCCGGGCTTGTATCCGGCGTAGTTGTCCCCAATGTTGGTCTGCGCCCTCACGATCTCGAGGCCCTCGAAGACACACCGCTCGAGTTCGTGCGCTCCGATCTGGCCACTACCGAGATTAGCACGCCACGACAGGCAGCGGCCGACGTCGTCAAGGTATGTCGCCGTCCACATTGTGATACTGTCACACGCTGATATCAATCAACCAGGCCCTCGTATCGAGTGGTTTGGAAGCTGACGCGACGACAGTGACGATGGAGTGGGTCAACCGTGGGCTTGCTGCAACCGGAGAGGAAGCCTGGAAGAGCAAAGATAGTGCGGTTTTCCTCTTCGAGGCGCTTGCTGCGCGCAGTGGCACTGTATCACTTGGTGTCACGGCGACGAACGCACTCGTCGACGTCGTCAAGTTCTTCGGAGACAACGTCTTCAACGACCTCCAGGCAGACCCAGGACGCGTTCACCATGTCCTTCAGATGGATGCGATTCGATATCTACACACTTTCCGGAACCAGGTTCGTGCTTTACGTCCCAACGTGTATGTTCAAATTCGGTGCTTACGATGTACAGTTGACGAAGGAGCAACTAACCTCGGTGCTGCCTTTACTCGGACAACATCTTTCTGGGGACGATGTAGTCGTTTACACCTACGCGGCAGTCGCAATCGACAGAATTCTGGCGATCCGCGCACCAGGATCCCCTACCCCCTTGTACGCTGCTCTTTCTTTCATCATACCACCCGGTCTGACGGCCGACAGGTTTACATACGTCGACGTGAAGCCATTTGCGCTCAATTTGATCGATATTCTGCTACGCAAAGTTGAAGCTGCTGGTACACCGGAGAAAGTGGCTGAAAACGATCTCGTCATGCGCTGTGAGTGCATTTGAGCGATGTTCCATGACTGCGTGCTAATCGTGCGTTTCAAGGCCTCGCTCGCGTTATCATCACCGCGCGTCAAACACTTGTAGAAGGGTATCAGCCTCTGTTACAGCGCCTCGTCGCGGTTCTTGGAACCATCTCGAAGAACCCTAGCAATCCAAACTTCGATCAGTACATCTTCGAGAGCATCTCCGCGCTCATTCGGTACGTACCGTGATGATTGGTGGCTTATATGACGAGGCTCATGGGTGGCTTTAGGTTTGTTGGTGCAGCGGACAAGAGTACCGTGCCCGTATTCGAACAAACCCTGTTCGGGCCCTTTACGTTCATCATTCAGCAGGAGATTGAGCGTATGTACACAGTTTGTCGCTATATCTACCCCTTCTCACTTCATTTCCGCAGAGTACATCCCCTATACGTTTCAAATCTTGGCCCAGATGCTCGCCCTGCACGAAGGTGTACCCACTGAATACCGGTCGCTCGTCCCCTTGCTGCTCACGCCCGCTAGCTGGACACAGAAGGGATCGATCCCGGGTCTTGTCCGACTGCTACAGGCGTTCATGGCGCGTGATGCCGCGCAGATCGTCGCCAGCGGGCAGATCGAAAGCGTATTGGGTATCGTGCAACAAAGGTTGATCCCGAGCAAGCTCAATGATTCATGGGGATTCGAGCTCTTGCAGGCCGTCGTGCGCTATGTACCGCCGTACGTTGATGCACATCTCGATTATGGTCGGCCCACTTACAGCACCGACTAGATCTGACTTGCAAAAGTATTTTCGGGGCATCGTCATGACGCTCCTAACACGCATGCAGAGTTCAAAGACGGACTCATACGTCTATCATTTCGTCTACTTCCTATCTTACACTTTGGCTGTTCCGGTGGACGGCCTCACTCCCGACTTTGTTGTCTCCGCGGTGGAGAGTATTCAACCTGGGTATGTATATTATAGTCTTGCTCGTTAGGACCATCGCTGATCAACGTCTAGATTATGGTCCAATATTCTCACAACCTTCGTAGTCCCTCAAGCCACAAAACTCGCTGCGAAGGACAGGAAGGTTGCTGTCATTGGGCTCACGCGGCTGCTGACGCAGTCTCCCCTGATGCTGGCTGGGAATAATGCGAACGCATGGTGCGTGGATGCTGATTGAAGCTTTTCCATAACAATATTGAAAAGGCGTCTATGCAGGGCATCTGTCTTCACCGCGATCGCTCAGCTTTTCCGTGAGCCGCAGGCGCTCAAGTCATCGACGGCCGATGACGCCGGCGCGGGTTCGACAGAGATCGACCTTGAAGAGCAGACAGCGGGTTATCAAGCCGCTTACTCGCGCCTGGCGGCCGCCGACGCTGCGCTGCCCGACCCCGCTGCGCACGTCGCCGATGTGCATGCATTCGTCGGCACGCAATTGCAATCGCAGCCGCAGGCAGCACAGCTTCTTCAGGCGGCCGATCAGCGAGTAGTCGGGCCGTTCGTCGAAGGCTTGCGCCGCGCTGGATACCAGTTCTAATCGCCATCCAGAGGCGCTTTCGATGATTCACAAGTATTGATACTAGCGCGTGCTTACAGTTCGCATGTATGTTGCGGGGGTTTCATGGATGTTCGTGCTATACAACATGCTCGTGAGATTACAAGTTCGTGCGCGTATAGATATTCTAGGCCTTGACGCCGTCCTTCAAAGACTGCCACGTCGGACGCGAAGTGATATCCTTCCACCAGCGCGCGACGTTCGGCTTGCCGTTGACACCGGTCTCGAGAGTTTGGTAGTCAACCTTAGCCAATAGTGCACCGTACGGCAGGTGGAAGAGGTCGGCAAGTGAGAAGTCCTAAGAGACGTGGTTCAGTATACACTCGCGATAGACAGTGAGGGACGTACATCGCCGGCGAGGTACTTGTGCTTGCTCAGGATGACTTCATAAGCTTCGAGCTTTTTCTCCAGCGTCGCGAGCAGAGCCTTGCCCGCCTCATGGTCCGCCTCCAGCCCGAATGCTCTGTATACGGTCAGCGCGCCATACCACCAGCTCGACAACAATATACGCACGGTTTGAACATGATTTCAAATACAGCGCCCGACGCGAAAGGGTCGAAGTTCGTCACTTCGATAGAGGCTCCCTGCTCGAATAAAGCATAGGCCTGGTGGTCGAAGGGGGAGGGGACGAGCTTGCGCTGCTTCTCGTACTTGAGTGCGAGGTAACGGCAGATCGCGCGCGACTCGAATAGCGTGAAACCGTCTTCGTCCACCTAGATATCGATCAGCTTAATGTATGGAACTCTCAGATACAATTTGTACGCACAATGTAGGGCACCTGACCGAACGGCTGCTTCGCAGTGTAGCTCGCCTTCTTCTGCTCTCCCTTGAAAATATCAACGGAGTGGAACTCGAATGGGACGTCTAGCTCCTTCAATGTCGTGGCGACGCGCAACGTGCATGTCGACTGGGGGAAACCGTACAGTTGGACGACCATGGCGGGGGTGATGAAGTTGCGAGATGATGTTGAGTAAGTTGGCCGGTGCGTGTGTGACGAACCCGACCTTCGCGAGCGGCTCTCTTATGGGATAGCTGCTCGCAGCCCGGCAGCGAGGGAATGCCGCACACAGCATCAGGTCATCTTCGCCGCAACCTGTTCATCAGCGGGATCGCAGTGAACTCAAGGTCGGCATGAGAGCGGAGAGTACAGAGTCAGAACCTGAACGAGATATTTGGACATCCTTAGCTAAGCGTGCGGGCGGCCTTCGGTGATGACAGAGATCGAAGACGACACCGGTCAATAGACCAGATGAAGGCGCTCTTTCCTCGGTACCCTATGATCAGCCAGCGAATGGAGGGTGAGGCGCTGCAAGGTAACATGCAGCGAGTGGAGCACAGTCCCTGGTGTTGAAAACGAGTTGGAACTTAGTAGTTGCATTTCAATGTACGAGTTGATGATGTCCAGACCTGGCTTGGGAAGGCGAAGCTTCCGCGTGCGTAGATGGGGCTGTGCCGAGCAGTATGCGGACTGCAATCAAGGGATGACGGGTGTGGGAGGTCTCGGATTTTGATCGCTTCGCTGGCACGGACAGGAAAGGTTATCCGAGATATGGGGCAAAAAATCGTATTCACCGCGAGCATCGGCTTCTTTTGTGTGAGCGAAAAGGCCGCGAAAACAATAAGCAAAAGTTTAGAATTACAACAGCCTTTAACGACCCAAAAAGGCTTTCCAGAAACATCAGGGGACCGCCCTGCCGCTAAAACCGCGGTTAAGCGAACTTAAGGCCCGCTCACGCGACAAAGGAGGCTAAGTCGGCCTCATGCCTCCTAATCGGTGTTCTTGCCAATCGGCGACTAACAACGTGCTTCACCGAAGCGCAACACGGGCTCAAAAGGGCTTAAAGTAGCTTACCGTATTATTAATGGAATTAATTCACACCTTTTTTGCCCCTTATCAGCCACCAAATCTGCGTGAGATGCAAGATGTCAATTGTCTGAGGCGGCGTAAGTAGCGTACAAGGTGTAGCGAGCATGGTACGAATGGAATGCAAGGAGGAGAATATTGAAGATACATGTTGAGATGGGGGAGAAGGGACAGCAGTCAAAATACAGCAAGAGATACGTCCATCGGAGCAAGAAGAGGCGGAGACATGCGCGACGGCGTCCATTGGTGATCAGGTTCCCGCGGCGCCAACAGCATGGAGGTACTGCTACCGTTCGCCCGAGCTAGCGCTGGCGCAGGCAAGACACAGTATCCTAAAGTTAACATTAGCATGTATCAAGTAAGTAAGGCCCAGACATCGCACCTGCTGAACACCCGTCTACCAGTACTCCGGTCCCTCGTCGGGCAGCTCATCCAGCTGCTGCATCATATCCCCATGCTTCCTCACGTACTGCAGCCGACACCCCTGGCAACTCAAGATATCGCCGTCTGGCAGGATCTGGAATTCAACCGGCATACGCCCTCGCGCGATTGACGCAAGTGCATAGCGGAGGTACAGATGGTTCTCGAGGATGTCCATCTTGGCCTCGGTCATCCCTTTCGTCTTGATCCTGCTGAGCGCCACGCTCGTGTACGGCCAATCGCGTGAGCCACTCTTCCTCTCATCAAGACCCTCTGCACCATGGACACCCGACAAGAAGCTCGCCATCTCCTGGAGCCATCGACCGCGATCCGTCAGCGTGTCAGCCTCAGCGGACCATGGTTCCAACCAGAAGTCCGAGCGGATCAGTTGGCCGCCGAGCGCGACGCGCTTGATGGCGCCCAGGACCTTGTTCGAGTTGTTCGGGTCAGGAGCGGTGTAGTCGGGCGTGTAATGGATCCCATGCTCATCCTTCAGCCTATTGATACCCGCGGCCTTGAGCGTGTTGCGATGGACAAGTTCGGGAAGCCAGTGGAGGAGTTGCCACATGTTGAGCTCGAAGAGGAGGCCTGTCCTCAGCAGCGCGTCCTTTTCAAGGAGTTCCTCTGTGACCTCGTGTCCGCACGGCAGTTTCCCCCAAGCTGGGTGCTCGGTGCGGTTCTGCCGAAGGTACTCGTAGTGATCCCGGGATAAGTCCTTCCCGCTGTACTCGTTGTCGGCCGCATCAGCCCACAGGTCCTCTTCCTTCCACACAATATTAAGCAGCGACCTCCAATATCTTGGTCCAAAGCGACCGAGATTACTATTGGGCTTCTTCTGCTTGAGCTCGATGATCTTGAGGAAGGACGGGAGCATGTGGACAAAGTTGACAAGGTAGCGTAGCTGGCGCTTCTCGTTTGCGCCGATGATGATGTGGATGGTCGGAAGGTAGGACACCTGCGACTTTGTGCCCGGGTCCAGCATAACGGCGTGCTCGAGCATTTCGCTCTCGGCTCTGGCGTAGGGAACAATATGATGCGCCAGGTATTTCGGGCGGATTGTCGTAAGTCAGTCGTAGTAGCTGCAGAGAGCGGGAACCGCCTTGGTGATCCAAGCGTAGTGTTTGGCGGTTGTGGCGCGCGCCCTTACGGGGTTCTTCTGCTTGAAGGTTTCCTCGCAAAGCTCCTGCTCCTTCTCCCGCTCGAGACGCCGACACTTCCGTTCTAGATGGAGAGACGGTAAGTAACTACATCCAACGGCAATTAAGAACCACTTACTGTCTTCGTCCACAATGCGCTTTCGCTTGAGCGCCTGAGCCCGATCGGACGGCTTGAAATCGTCCTNCGGCGGGGGCATGCCTGAGATGGCTAGGACCTCCCATATCTCCCACGCGATACCCTTTGCCGGATACCAAGAGCGCGGGAGATCCTTCTGCTTGATCGAGTCTGTGGAATGAGATTAGTAAGTAGCATGAAGAGATAGTTAGTCATCAATACTGACTTAGCTTTGGGTCCAAGTCAATGGCACAGCGCCAGTCACTTGTCGACGAGTACTCCAAGCTGTCGGCGGCTTCGAGCTCCTCGAACGGGATCAAGACAAACGTGGGCACCCCGGCGCCAACAAGGAACAAGTGAAAGCGCGGAATATCATCACCGGTGAGAATCGCACCGCGCTTGGGACCATCGCCGTATTGTTCGAGGTACTCCTCGCTGGCCTTGCACAGACGTCCGATGGTGGGGTGATCTACGTGGCGAAGAAGTAGGGTACATTCATACAAGAATGCCTCGATTATGAGTGCGCTGCGCTGACGTTGGCGCCAGGCAAGATCCTTGTCCTGCGGATGCTGCAGGAACTGAAATTTCGACTCCATGTCGTACTTCAAGAAGACGGCGGCCTTCCACAGGTCCCCGACGACAACTTTGGGTAGCATTGTGCTACCAAGTGTGGCCCACGCGAAGTCATCCTTCAGCAGCACGTCCGAGGAGAATATCTCCTGAAGAAGCCAGACGGTGGCCCCAAAATTGTCCCACAACTTCTTGACACATTCAGCCGCCCAGTACTTGAGGAAGTTCTTCCCGTCCATTGCTGCGTCCCAGCGACGAAAGTCCATAGAGTCCGCACTTTTGGCGGTTGGTTGGCGTATGAACGCCATGTACAAAGCGCGAGCGTTGAAGAACTGAGGCTGGCGCATGAGCTCGTAAGGGCCCAGAAGGGTGTCCGTATACACGGAACCAAAAGGCGGGGCGGTGTCTGGATCCGGCGGCAACTCCGTGGTATTGTAAGCGAACAAAGCGCCAGCCTGCCATTGTGCAGCAGCCATATAGCCGGCGGGCACCTGGTGCTTGACCGGCAACTTGGGGGCCACTACAGTGGTAGACGCTGTGGTTGACGTTCTTGAGTTTGCGAGCTCCGGTGTGTGCGCAATCGATGGTAAGGATCTCTTCAGCGCCTCCAAGTCCTTCGGCACGGGCTTCCTCGTGGGCTTAGAGCTGCCCGCTTTGGGGTTGCGTGCTTTGGCGGGCTGGGACTTGCACGTTGGCACCGGCTGGGGTTTGTTCGGCAGCGATGCGTGGGGCGGGAGCAGTAGTGTTGGCTGATTCGCACGGCGGGGTAAAGGGCGTGTCAGGCGCAAAGATGGCGCCTGTGACGGGCGTGAAGGCGGCCCATGCATCAGACACGGCAACATTGTGGGTGTGGCGGCAACCTCGCCGGGCTCCAGGCCACTGTTCTCCGGATCCCTCTCCTTCCTACTCTCCCTCTCCCTCTCCCTCCCCTCCCTCC